CCAGCGGTGCCTATTGATTGTGTAATTTTGAGTCAAACTCTGTTCCACTAATGGGCAGCTTGGTTCTCCACCTGCCTCCCATTTATTATCCTGGCATAGTTTGTCCAACAAATTATCCCACAGAAAGTAGGTCTTTGCCCAGCAGGCTTCTAGAAATCTCCATCAGTGGGGCACCACACATATTTATAGAAGCGGCAGAGGCTAATATTTTGCCGTGTGACACCTGGACAAGCAGGAGTCTGGGATGCCTCCACACCAGGCACCGTGACAAGTTCAGAAATCTTAAAGGAAAGCTGAAAGATAAAAATAAAAATAGATGGATCAGAATGAGGTATCTGCCCGTTGCTATGTAATTAGAAAGAAGCTGCCAAACAGTTAGGATTCTCGACCTTGTATTTGACTGGCTACTCAGCGCGCCCGCCCCCAGCCCACCCCCTACCCCTGTGTATACGTGCATGGCTCCCACACCCTGCTGCTCCAGATGGAGATGCACAGTGAAAACAGAATGATGAACCATATTGGTGAAATGTAGCCAGCAACTGTTGTGAAATATTCAGAGAAACAGACACCTCAATCTATGCAGTGAAAAACAAATGAAAATACAAAAGTCGTTTGAAACAAGTTATGACTGGAATCAAAGGAATTTGTGCCTGTTTTTGGCTCTTCAGGTGGTAGTTCTCTAGACACGCAATTGTAATGATGGCATGTTTTAAAATCTGAAACCTTTTCATAGGCTGTTTGACAGATGAACAATCCAATACAAAAAAGGGGGTGAATTCCACTTTGTGAGCGCTCATCTGAGATCAAGGCTTCCTCCACTCTACATTCATTCTCAGGACTGATCAAAGAGAACTTCTCGGCTTTATCTAAAACTTGAACGTTTATTTCCAGCATATCCAAAAAACTATTAGCATCAACAGCCATATTTAACCTCTCTTCCTCACTCAATGGAGTAGTGAAGAGACTAGAATCTTGAACTGTAAACAAGTTGTCAACAGGGGGTCCAAACAGTCCCGCATCCCATATTAGGCAAGTGTCTCTTTTCTCTCCTGATGGTATTGACAACAGGGACACTACATCTCAGGTGAAGGGGATGCGTCCCAGCATCCTTGTTCCCTGCTCCAGTAATTCCCACAGTCCTAGGTGTTGTTGTGTGCCATCTCAGACTGAGTATGCCATTTTGCCTTCTCTCTCCTCCTGCAGTCCGGCTTTGCCCTTTCCTCCCTAATCTTTCTGTTCCACTCCCAGGCTCCCCCCCCCCCAAGTAAGAAGGCTTATCCGGCTTTCTCTCTCCTCCTCCTCCTCTCCGCCTCCTCATGAGGAAACATAAGCCTCTCCCACTGTTTGGTCCAGGGGTTCTCCATCCAGTTCCACTCTCATCCTAGTGGGAGTATTTCTTGCTCTCTTTTCGCATCCGCCTCTCCTGCCTCTACTATCCTGTGCCCGGGCTTCTTCTCCTTATATATATATCCGTACCCTTCTCCCTCTCTATTCCTGGCTTTTCCAGTAGCTGTTCTACCTCCCCCACTGTTGTTTCCCGCTTTCCAGGCATCAGGTCTTCCCCCATTAGAGCTCTTCCTGCCTCACGTAATGGTCCTGACCTGTCCTCCTTCGCTTCTTCTCCCTGTCTGTCAGGCTCCATCTCTTCCGTCTCCCTCAGAGGCGCCGTAACCTTCTGCACCATCTGGGATTTCCCCTGCTGCACCTCTAAGGATTTCTCCCGTATCTCAGTGGGGAAAGAGAGCACTCAAGCTGGTATGGTATCGGGCCAGCTAGTCTCCTCAGACACTTGTATACCTTTTCCCATTTGGTGTTCATTATCTTTCATTTTTTGAACATGTTTCAATAGCAAATAAATATTGGGTGGTGATTAAGTGTGATGCGGCAGTTAGAGTAATAGACTGGGATGCAGAAGATCCTGGTTGTGTTCACCACTGGCTCCATCTACAGGGAGCATAAAACTTACTAGCTGATCTTAGACTTAATGGTTCTCACTCAGCCTGACTTACCTTCACAGGACTGTTGTGACAATAAAGCAGGGATGAGGAGACAGCTTGAGTTCATTGGAGGAAAGGGGAGGAGAGAAGTGGAATTGATAAATGATAAGTATTTACATTTGTCAGATTCTGGATAAGCAGGGCGGCGAAGGGCCGCCAACATGTTTTCAGAGGGAGGGCTTCTCAAGTCAGCAGTTCAAAGAGATAGTTCTCCTTTTTTCCATCTCCCTGACAGATTTTCTGCAGTCAGGAAAGAAACAGAAGAAAAGTTGGGAAAACATAGGAGCATTATAAGCAGAGGGGAAGGCTGCGTGAAAAATCCAGTGAATGAGGCAGAGCAAAAAATAGCATGCTAATAAGACAAAAGTATGACAAAAACCTTCTTTGAAATCTTTTTGAAACTTATTTAAGGTCTCTTCTTTTCAGACAGAACATTTGTTTCCCTTCAAGTACCAAGTTCTGCACTGATGTCTTGGCATTTTTCCCACCATCCATATGATATTTCCTTATTTGGCTTCCTACAGTGCTTTTTGCCATGACTTTGAGGCCCTTTTCAATCATTCTGAAGGCAGGCTTTATTTTATTTTATTTTTACTTCCAGTTGTTAGCTGGCGTGGATTTCCATGCTTCTCCTAGGTGCAATTCTTCCCATTGTCTGCCATTGATGTTGGCAGAGAGAGCTCTTAAAGAGAGCGCATCTCTTAAACAGAAGAGCCTTTCTTAAAGAGGAGAGAAATAGCGGCTTTAAAGTTCTGGTTCTATGTGCATCCTGATGAACGATGCACTCCTCCGGCATCAAGTGCAAAAAAGAGGAAACAAATGCTGCATCTGCTTGTGCTTTAGATAGCTTTAAAGTCTGATTAGATCAGTTCAAGGAGAGTAAGTCTTCCAGTGGCCTCTGGATCCCAGCTGCTGTGTGGAACATGAACAGGAACATGAATGTAAATACTGCAGAATTTAAAAGAGTTACACTTGGTCTGTGAAATGCTAAATTGCTGAAATAACTTGCAGGCATTTCAGTGAGTCTTGAGGTGCAATCCTGTACATATTTAACTAAGAAGCAAGCATCAATGTGTATAAATAAGCTTTCTCCCAGGAAAGTGTGCAAAGGATTATCATTCTGACAATTTAACTATCACTTGGGATATAAGTGGTTTCGGTGGGAGTGAATTCTCTTTAATTTTCTTTGTACTCCTCAACAGACTGAGGACAGGGTTTTTCTAGTGTACAGGCTGCAAAAGATAGTGATATCAAAGCAGCTTTTGGCCTTCTTCATGTCTTTCAAAGACGAGTCCCTTGTAGAATTAGGTTCATCAGCTGGATCAAATGGCAACATTGGGTGATCCAGCCCAATCTTTAGCCTGTATTATTTTCTATTTAACAATTATGCTTATGATATTAAAGACTTAACTAAGAAATCTAAGTAATGGTTTTGAAATTGTCCCACTTTTCTATAGTTATGAGCTGTGGCATCCCATGTATTTGTTTGAAAAAAAATGAAAAGCCTGTTTAAAAAATAAACAAGTGCAGCAAATACAAACATGATTTAAAAGTACTGTTGATTAATTTACAGTCTCCTCCAACTCATTGTTGAATTCAGAATGAGTACATACCCCTGTTGAATAGACTTCTCAGTTATTAAAAATTGTTGCCAAAGTTTAAACATCTCACACATATTCTCACCATGATGTATTTAGAGCAGAAATTAATTAATTTAAAAAGTGATGCTTCATTCAATACATTCCAACTAGAAACTGTAGGACCACAAAGGAAAGACCCCTTGGAGGGCCTCGTTCCAGAAATTTCAGCAAACCTCTCACAGGTGTACTTGAATGAGGGGAAAAATAGCTTTCTTGTCAGATATGCTAAAATCACTTTATGCTTCACATGACCTTTTCAGGGTCACTTGTATGTAAAAATGAATTTCCAGCCCACTTCTGGCTGACAAAAGGTGAAATACTATAACTGCAGATGGAAAAGATTGCTGGGTAGTGGCACAAAGCTCTCTTGTTCTCTGTCTCTTCCTTAAAAATAATTTCTACTTCCTTGTAGTGCAGAAACCAGAGAGCTTCACACCCACAGACCAAGACATCCCTATTTAGTGTGACTAAATTCTTGAATTCAAATGTTTCCCAAAGCAAAGCCAGCCATTTTGGAGAAGTTGTGCTAAAATGTAAATACAAGACAAAGAACCCTCTACTAGATGAGACCAATGGCCTGTCTAGTCTAGTTTCCCACAGTGGCCAGCCAGCCACTGTGGGGAAGCCCCAAAGCAAGGCATAAGCACAACATCTGTTGCTTGTTCTCTTCTGTCTCCCAACAACTGGTAACTCGTGAGGCAAACTATCTCCAGTTCTGTAGTTAGCACACTGCTTTCACTCACTTCACTTTGGTCATGTTGCTTCTGCCAGTGGCAGGGGACAATGAATGCTGTAGCCCAGTCAGGCTGGTTTAAATACAGATTGCCTACATATCTCCTCCTCACTCTTTTCCATCTGGCAAAGAGCAGTTCAAAGTGTTTGTAGCGATTTCAACAAGGAAAAGCAGGGTAGGTGGAAGGATCAATGTCACCCTGCAAACCTTTGCTCTGAAACAACTCCCAACTCTCCGCCTCATCACCAGTTGCATTTCAGGAAAATGATAGAGATCTCATTAAAAATGTGAGATCTGGAATCACAATTTTTTTGGCTCATAAGGTTTGTTCCTGGAAAGAGTAGGGTTTGGTTTTTTTCTTTTTCTTTAAAGATTGTACTAATAAAGCAGTTATGGAATGATTTTTACATACCTCTTGATCTTTTAAATGCTTTGTGAGCAGCTTTGGGAATTAAATATCAAATAACAAATAATTTAATAATTTACTTCTCAGTTACAAATAAATTAAATATGGATCCCATGTATCCAAGAAGTACATGTAAAAACATTTGGTTTATGATGTTCTTGTTCTTTTTGTTGTTGTTTGAAATGTGTGTTTGTATGTGTGTTTGTGTGTGCATGTGATAACAGGCCTGGCCAGAGAACAGTTGATGATCTAGAAATTATATATGAAGAACTTCTGCATATTAAGGCTTTATCTCATCTTTCAACAACAGTGAGTCTTTTGTATTTTATAGTTTTATCTATTTATATTGCAAATCAATAGCCACCTCTGTGTAGTTACGGAAGAGGCATAATGAGGGTACAGTATTGGTCTGTAGTTTCCATCCAAGAAAATAGCAGGCTGCTCAAATTAAGTACAGCCCATTGCCACCCTAGTCTGCCTGCCAACCCTCTTGTATAATTAGCCAAAGAGGTGAAATGTAAAATGTTTTGTTTCATTTTACTATATCTCGCAGAACTCTATAGCCAGTGTGATGGGATATTGGAAGTTTTACTCCAAGCCCCCTCCCCAGCATCTCCCATGTTTGCCACACCAGTCTTTCCTCCCTTTTCTGCTGCTCCCTAATGGCGACAGCCCAACAGGACCTTGTGCCTCCCACTCTCCCAAGCACATGGAGTACTTACTGATGGAGTGGGAACCACGAGGTAGGGGGTCCCATCATGGACTTCCTACAAATGAAGCTGCCTCCTCTTGGAGGAGAGGATGGCTTCACAGCATCAGGATAGTGAGCAGTTGCCATCTGGAACACGTGAGCTGCCTCCACTTACCAAATCCCCCAGGGATCCTCTCCCTCCTTCCCTCCTTCCTATGAACATGCATGTCACCACCTAAATACAGGATGTTGACATTTTTTTACAAGGTCTGTTTTTTCTCTGCTTCAAGGTAAAGCGCGAACTAGCAGGTGTGCTGGTGTTTGAATCGCACCCCAAAGCGGGAACTGTTTGTAAGTGAACAAGATTTTATGGTACATGGTTAAGTGAACTGCTTTTAACATTGGAATGGATAGTTTGGAATCTGAATGAAGGGGAGGGGCTGGACTCAGGGGTGTCCTGAGCTGTCTGTGTGGTGGACAGTGCAGGATCTGATCGAGGACATCACTTGTTTTATCAGTCACAGGAAATGGCTGGATGCTTTTAGGGTTTGTTGTTGTTGTTGCAGGGGCAAGGTCTGTAAGCTGGATAGCTCGGTGGTTTAAGTATTTGGCTGCAGAGCCAGAGGTTGGGAGTTTGATTTCCCCCCTGGGACTCCTTAAGAGGGGCTGGACTCCATGATCCTTGGGGTCCCTTCCAACTCTGCAATTCTAAGAGAATAAGAACAAGACATCCATGCAGAATGCCCACTTTTCATATCTTCACACTTCCTTTTAGCCACATTTATTTGGATGTTAAGTCCTAGGGACCCTTCCTTTTAAATGAAGTATACTTATAGCTCCACATGCAGTAGAACACAGGAGTTGTAGAATGCTTTATTCTTCTTGGCATAATAGATTTGAGATTCAAATTTTGCTGTTTTGCTGTTCAACAACAACAACAAAACTTACAAAAACAAGAAGAAAGCTAACATACGAGGGAGAGAGTTTCCAGCTCAGGTTACTCCCTGGTGTATAGTCTCCTTGCTCTGATTCTGTGACATGCAAGAAAAATTGTGATCATCCACCTGCAGTCAGAAGGGCTTCCACTATTCTGCCACTGCAGAACTCCTGCCTCGCAGTTTACTGAACACGTGGTGTTGGCCTTTGGAATCCTAACTGCTATAGAGATTTTGTTTGTTTTGCTGTGGTATCCATTTCCAAAGTGGCAGCTGCATTTGTTTGTTGGTACAAAAGCAGCAACAGTCCTTCAAGCATTTCAAATGTTTCACAAATTTACTGTTGCATGAGCTTCAGAGGACAAGCAGAGGTGTGCAGATTTGTGCGTTTTGGACTACAGCATCCAGGATTCCCCAGGAAGCATACACAAACATCTTGCACACTTTTAAACTGCATCATTTGAAGTGGGCTCCAGTTCACAAAAACCTCATAATAAATTGCTTAGGCCTGTACCTCCCTGAGCAGTAAAGGTAAAGGTAAAGGTTCCCCTTGACAATTTTTGTCCAGTCGTGTCCGACTCTAGGGGGCGGTGCTCATCCCGCTCTTCAAGCCATAGAGCCAGCGTTTTGCCCGAAGACAATCTTTCCGTGGTCACATGGCCAGTGCGACTTAGACACGGAACACTGTTTACCTTCCCACCGAGGTGGTACCTAATTATCTACTTGCATTTGCATGCTTTCGAACCGCTAGGTTGGCGGGAGCTGGGACAGGCGACGGGCGCTCACTCCGTCACGTGGATTCGATCTTATGACTGCTTGGTCTTCTGACCCTGCAGCACAGGCTTCTGCGGTTTAGCCCACAGCGACATTGGCAAAAAAACAAAAAACAAAACTTGCCAATGTTGTAAAGCGAGATGGCACCACTTGTGTCATTCAAGGAATTGTTCCTCCATACAGGAATGCCTGTTCTCCACTTGTGCAACACCAACATTTGCCCAAGCAGTACAATCCCAGATTGTTGTAGGTTGTGCCTGGGAGGACTTTCTGCTCAGTGGAATCATAGAAGAATGAAGTTGGAAGGGACCTATAAGGCCCTCAAGTCCAAACCCCTGTGCCCAGTGCAGGAATGCAAAGAATAGCTGCCAGGTGGTTGCCTAAGTTTCTCTTAAATGTTTTGGAGAGCTCACCCCCTCTTGAGGTCATTAGTCCCATTTGTTGTACTGCTCTAAAAGTTAGGAAGTTTTTCCTGATATGCAACCAAAATCTGTCTTCCTGTAACTTGAGCCCATTGTTGCGTGTCTTGCACTCTGGGATGGTCAGATCCTGTCCAATGAACAGAATAAGCACAAGATCCTGGCTTTAGTCTTTAAGGTTCTACAGGAGCTCTAGTGGCTAATCTCAGTATGTGTATTTTTTATTTTAAACTCATATGAAACTGCTTTTTGCTGCCCATTACAAGGTACGACTAAAAATAAAGAGAAGGTGACTTGTAATAAATTTGCCACACATAAAAAAATCATATTAAGCTTTGCAAGAAGATGGCTCATTGAATGTTTTGCTCTATTTTCATGATCCCTTCTTTTTTTTCTGCTTTGCATAGTATTTAATCAAGGAGAAGAAGGAACATCTTGGTATATTATTTTAAAAGGATCAGTAAACGTAGTCATTTATGGCAAGGTATTGTCTTTTTAAACTCTTTACATTTCTTCCATGTTGAGTGTGGGGTGTGGGTGTATTGTGCATACAGGCACACATATGCATGCCCAAGTGTGTTCTGGATTTGAACTCTGTGGTTTTCAGCTCTGGAAGCAATGGGCTGCATCCTGTGGAAGGTCTGTACTAGTGGAATGCATTTTGATCTGCACAACATAGGTGACTTGCTTTGCACAGGTTTCCATTATCATGTATCACCATCTCCACTATATTCTATATTGTTCTGGAGGTTCCCCCCACCCCTGGATATATATGGTGAAAGGGAGAGCTTTGAAAATCGTATGCCCTGCCTTGCATGAGTGGAAATGCTTTCTGCTAGCACAGTGCCAATGCTGGATACAAGTCAAGATATTTTAATGGGCTCTGATCTGGGGGTGGGGGTGGGGGAGTCCTAAGCACTATTGAAAATCAGTGTTGTTTACATTAGTGGCATCAGATTCATAGAATCATAGAAAAGTGAAGATGGAAGGAGCCTACAAGGTCATCAAGTCCAACCCCCTGCTCAATGCAGGAATACAAATCAAAGCATATCTGACAGGTGTTTATCTAAGTTTTTCTTGAATGCCTCCAGTGTTGGAGCACTCACCGACTCCCAAGGTCACTGACTCATATGTAGGATATGTATAGATTGCTAATGACTTTAGCATGAAACACCAGTCTGAGCAGACATTGGTGTGCAAGATGGATGGCCAGCTAGTCAGAGCTTGGAAATGTTACTTCTGGAGACTACAGCTCCCAGGATACTCTTGGGAATTGTAGTGCAAGAAAGTAACTCCTCTAAATCTCAGTCCAAGTCAGCAGAAGGTTTTCCTTTGTTCAGCTCAATGGAGTGACCCTGATTTCATGGCAGTGCTGAATTGGCTTATGGTTTTAGCGCACATTTTACAGGAGGTACTGTAGCTGCTGAATTCTGTCCCTCAAACAGTTTTAGCACCTTGGATAGCTCCTTTACATTTGGACTGAAACCCAAAGTGGAATCATTGCACCCCACCCCATCCATGAATTCATAGTCACCAGCCTCTCCACCACCGCTAGCATTTAATGACTAAACAAGGGTTTCTGCTCTTCATTCCGGGTAACCTTCTGACACAGTACATTGTTCTGCAATTACAAAATACGTTTATAAGTTGATACCCATTTCTATAGTTTTGAAGGTGGAGGAGATGTGCAAGTCTGTTGCAAGAAAATCAGTAACAGGTTCTGCGGCAACTTAAATATGAATATATTATTATGGCATAAACATTAAAGTGCCACAAGGTTCTTTATAGTCTTTTATGCTGCCGTGTTTAGTTTACAAGTCACTCTGATTACAGAAGGTCTTTCAAAGATGGGATTTTAAAAAATCAGATTAAAAAGTCAAATATTTGGTTTCATGTTCAGAAAAAGTTAGTTCTCAGAAACTCTTCTGTGACTGAAAGCCACAGTATAACAAATGGAACTTCAGTTAACAATGCATTCTGACAATAGGCCAGAATACACTATCAGAGATTGGCAGTCATTGAAGAAAGTTTAGTATTCAACAAACATGCTTAAAAAAAAAAAAAGAACTTCAAAAACAGAAGAAGGAAATTGGGCTTCATTATTAGAGGCAAACGTCTGTCTATCTCTAAATCAAATTTCAGAGAACAAATCCTATTCTTTCTTTCCCTTTGTCTTACAGCCATGAATTGTTATCTTGCTATTATTTGAGCTGTTCATTTCTTGCCCTATACATTTGTTATAGAATTTAGCTTCAAAATCTAGTAGTGTTTGCATATGGACCAAACTCTAAATGATGGCTTCTCTGTGTAAATGTGTTTTCTCCTGCTGATGTTTTTAGGGTGTGGTATGCACACTACATGAAGGTGATGATTTTGGCAAGTTAGCATTAGTGAACGATGCTCCAAGAGCTGCTTCCATTGTTCTGCGGGAAGATAATTGCCACTTCTTGAGAGTGGACAAGGAAGACTTCAATAGGATACTCCGGGTAAGTGTGTGTTTAGATAAGGACCTATTGAATAGGTGTAAATACTATCAAACTGGGCTCTGGAACCTGTGGCTTTCCAGATAGTATTGATTTCCACTTTGTTATCCATAGCCAGTTTGGCCAGTGATCGGGCATTGTAGAAGCTGTAATTTATCAATGTCTGGATGGCCAGAAGTTCATTGGGTATCTTTTTGGAACATCTGTGTAAAGACCGGATATCTTTTCCTCAAGTCTGTGTATGTTTCAGGTTCTTACACATTTGTGCACAATTGGAAACTATGGAATTGAAATATTGCTCTTCTGATGGTGTACACTCTTCCATTATTTGTTTGTTTGTTTGTTTGTTTAAACTATTTTTATCTCATCTTTCTCTTTGAAAGAACTCAATGTAATGATTGTAGGGGTAATGATTCTAGTGCATTGTTAAATGAAATGCAAGATAGGCCCATCATTTTGAAATCAGAGATCTGGAAAGCCAGATTAATTTTTCCACCACATTTTAGTAAAAAGAATATGTACAAAACTTTGACTTGAATGCAAGAAGACACCTGAATAGAAAATTGAAAGTTGCAGCAGTTTAAATCCACTTGGAAGTAGACGTACTGAATAAATGGGACTTAGCAAGTCAATATGTACATAGATTCCATTGTCTACTCTAGTTGAGACTAAAAATAGGATTTAACTCATTGACTTTGGTGTGGTTTAAGCATCTTACCTGAACACAGAATCCTTGTCTATGTTTCTGATCAGCAAGCGAGGTTGGTGGTGACCTCATTCCATTGAAAATCATAGATTTTAATTGCAAGATGTAATGAACTTCAATGTCAGTGGGGAGTTTAAACAGAAGCATCTCTCCTGGACTGGGTCAGGTATCTCCTCTCATCCAGCAATACAAAAACATCACCTTTTGAGTATTATCCAGTATTTATTTGAAGAATCGGAAACCCATTCCAATTTCATTATCTTGGATCTTCATTTGAGAAACTCTGCATAGCCAAGTTCTGTTCTTGAGGCACTGTTCATTTGCAAAAATGTTGGGGGAGGGGAGAATACCATTTTTCACCCATTCCCCTTCTGCTGAAGCCCCTTGGAGCTCCTCAGCCTAATGCATCTTGGAGGACCCAGTGGAGATGGCAGCTGGATCAGTGTCAGTTCTGCAGACGAAGGAGATCTCTCCTGCTTGTGGAGCTCTAACACATTAATTATTCAAATTATCTTTCAGGATGTTGAAGCCAACACAGTAAGACTTAAGGAACATGACCAAGATGTCTTGGTATTAGAGAAGATCCCAGCAGGGAACAGAGCTTCTAATCAAGGAAACTCACAGCCACCGCAGCATAAGTATGTTTTCCTTCCCCTGTGTCAGTGCTAGGCTGTGATTAATATTTCCAAATAAATGTGTATAACTAACTGTGCACTCTTTTTATCTGTGAAGGAATGCATTGTCTCATATTTGGAAGGAAATGATCAGCTAATCAGATATCCTGGAGTGCATGAGATATATGAACTACCCAACACCTTAAACAAGGTCCCTCTTCCATGCATAATCAGTCCCATGCAACTCCAAAAACATTCACCGTATGTATGGTAGTACCTTTTAACAAAACTGTGTGAGGTGTGAGAAATGTTATGATGAAGTAGAGCAAATTGTGGTGGCAGCTTCTAAAATCATACTGGTTTTATATTAAGGAAATAGATTTCCAAGTTGTCTAAATTGATCCATGCACCCAACTGGTTTGGTTCTGCACTCACAGCTGAAGAATTCAGGATGCAGAAGTGCATTCTTGCTATGAGCTGGTTTGAGAACGGTTTTGAAAACCTGCCCCTTAAAAATGAAAAGTAAATTGCATTATTGAGACTATTGATGCCCGCGTCCAAGAAGGCATAATTTGTTCCTCGTTAGAGTCAACTTTCTGAAGATTACCTGCCATCTAAAGTATAACTTGCCTGCATTAATAACTCTGCTGACTTACAGACTTCACATTGAGCAGCTCAGGAATGCTGTTCCACAGAAAAAATAGTTATATACTTGATACAAGTGAGCCCAGCTTGTAGACATCATAATGATCTCCTAAGACTTCAAGAAGAGAAAGAATTCAAGCCATGCCTGTTTCTCCTTCGGGGAACAATTCAGGCCATATGGCTAAGCTTGGTTCGATAATCTAATGACTGCTCATGGTGTGAAATCTACCAACTATCCTTAAAAGCTCCTTAAAATTGTTTTGTTGTCTTCTAGAACTGTCCAAATTACTGTTGATGCTCTCCTAATGGTGACATCATGCCTTTCCATAGTTGTTGTGGTCCTACACATTTTCCTTGCTGTCCTAGACTTATGGATAGCACCATTCAAATACTATTACATCCTTCCAGAAGGGCTTTCCTCTCAGGCTCCAGTTTCCAGCTTTCGTTCCTTCCCTTCTTTTTGGTTCCATCAGATTGGACTTCACCAATACCAGGCCCTGATCTTCACACACACACACACACACAGAGAGAGAGAGAGAGAGACAGACAGACAGACAGACACACAGACACACAGACACACAGACACACAGACAGAGAGAGTGTTCACACACACACACACACACACACACACACACACAGAGAGAGAGAGAGAGAGACAGACAGACAGACAGACACACAGACAGAGAGAGTGTTCACACACACACACACACACACACAGAGAGAGAGAGAGAGAGAGAGACAGACAGACAGACAGACAGACACAGAGAGAGAGAGAGTGTTCATGGCCTGGGGTTCGATCCCAGGTAGCCCGCTCAAGGTTCACTCAGCCTTCTATCCTTCCGAGGTTGGTGAAATGAGTACCCAGCTTTGCTGGGGAGGCAATGTGTAGCCTGCATAATTAACTTGTAAACTGCCCAGAGAGTGCTTGAAGCACCACGGGGCGCTATATAAGCAGCACGCTTTCGCTTTGCAGTACGTAGTAAGTAGATTATGATCTGATTCCTGCTGTGTCGCTTCATCTGTAGAGCCATACTACAGATTTCCTCTGTTGACGAAGCCCTGCCGGTTGCTCTAGGATTACCAGCTGGATTGCCCAAAGAAACCCTAAGTGTATGCAAACATCTTATTCAGTCTGCAAGATCAAGTTTTATCCTTGCCCTTTATTAATCTTTCTGGCATGAAGGATTTGAACCCCAGATTTTGATCTCTGCCTTTGGGTAGTACAGGGATCTGTTCTTGGCATGCCAGCTCAATTTTCCTAGCTACAAACTTTATAAGAAGAGGGAGGAGATAAAGCTGAACTGCTCAGCAATGCTGAGCTGATACTTGACCTCTCTGAAGTATATAAACACCCTTCAGTTCTTGGATCTTCTCTAAATTGAGTTCTGAAGTTGATGGTGGCAGGAAAAAATATGAAAATTAGAGGTAAACAGAATTCAGGGCTTTTATCCTCCATATCTTCTACATGTAGTGATGTACAATATAGTGTGCTAATTGTACACTAGCACAATCTATTGTATATACAGTAGTGGCCACATGAGAAAGATTGGATTGGCACAATCTAATTTCTGCACCGGTGCTATAACTTGGCTGATCGTTCTTTGAACTATCTTTGTATATATCTTCCTTGGTCTCTTCATTTTCATACTCCTAGGAGTCAGTAGTAATTGTTACTATTATTGATGACTTCCTGGAATGAATCTATCCTGACACAGTTAATGATACATTTTATAAGGCATTTTTAATACACATTGTACAATATCTTTTAAATTTTCTGCACAGCCTTCATTTTCCAGAGCAGTCTATGATTTTGTCATCAGAATCAGGGAAATGATATGTTTGTGACTAAATAATTGTTTCCTAAAACTACACTTTCTACAACAGAAAATTGTGGAATCCTGGCAGTGGAACTGTGCTAATATGAATTGAATTTAGTTCATTTTGCATCTTGTTTCCAGCTCACTGTACACAAATGTATTCAGTTTATCACAATCTTTACTATTACTGTAAAATATTCAGTGTATTTCTGAGCTGAATCTACTTGTATCATTTTACATTTTTTTAATCAGGAGGTTCAACATCCTTCCTGGTTTCTCCAGGGTTTAATCACTAGAGAACATTGGGCATGTTCTTTCATTGTTCTTTTTTTCCAGCACCATCTTCCTTTATCATTGCTGTGAGCTTCATTCTGCCAGGATGGCATTTATTCCCACGAAATGCATGAGTTTCTCAAGAAGAAGGCTTACTTTGGCAAGCTGCTGCCAGTAACTAGATAATAATGAGCAAGATGGTTGAGTGGTTTGCTGCGTGTAAGAGTGTGCCTTGTGCCGTTTGCTTTTGGAACTTCAAAGTACAGTATAGATTGAAATTATGTAATATTTATGAGATTGTTAATCAAAGTGGACTTATTCCTTCAGATATTTCATTTGGTTCTCAACCAGTCTTAAGCTGTTTTGGAATCATCCCACGTTCCATTATGAAGTCGCTGCCAAGCTAGGTAGAGTTTGGACTGAAGCACCTTAAGGTGGCATCTCTAAAACAGGACTTTTTGTAGCTCTTCAGAACCTCTGCTTAGGACAAAATCGTACCATTTCTTCACTATTAAATGTAGTAGCTTCTTGTGCATTACAGTCAATGAGATGTTGACAGTTTGCTGTTCAAAATAGTGAGCTCTTTCTTTGCAAAACAACTTCCAGATTTCCCTAGAAGGGGGAGTGGGGAAGACTCTTAAACATATCTGACTGTGTAGCTTTGATATGTCCTCAATATCAAGAAACGTTTGGCCCAGAAAATCACTGTGAAATATTTGGAATAATAATACTGATGAAAGAACTTGTGTCTCGGAATCCTTTTCATTCACCAATGTCTAATCACAAATATCTTTCACATGTTCAGGATCTAGAGTAAGAGTTCCCAGCGCAGTAGTATGACTCTCAGAAAGCTTTTGGTACTAACTTGTCTAATTATGTAGAAATTTTAGAAGGCTGGGAAAATGCTTCAGTTTGGGAGCGCACATGGTCTGAGTGGAATTTGAGTCCGTTCCATGTTCCTCCACTCTTCCTGCCTCTCTTCTGCTACCTGCTGAGCCCTCAGTGGAGCCCACGTGAGGTTTGAAGAGATGACTGTAAAAAAATATATAGATTTGTTTGAAGAGCTCACAGAGTAAAAATCTGCCTGCCAACTTCCTCTTCATGGGCATCACCTCTTAACTGACTGATCTCTTGCAGAATCGTGCTGCCAACGAGTCTTCAGGCACCGCAAGCCACTTCCACTGTTTCATTTCCACTTTCATATTCAAAGTACAGCAACCCAAACTCTCTCTCTCTCTCTCTGTCTCTCTCTGTGTGTGCTTCACTCCCTAAGATACCCAGTTAGTCTCTCTCTGCAAGGATGCTCACTTGGCTTAACAAGGGTTTATGTTCTTGGGACATCAATACAACTCTTCCCAAAGGGCTGGCAGGTAAAAGACGTGTGTGATGGCCAGCGCTCAAAGTGAGGAGAAGCTCCCAGGTAGCTCAGCTCCATTACTTATTTCTCAGCAGGCGCTTTTGGGAGGGAAAATGTTTCCTACTTCCCCCCCCCCTCTACTTGAGTGCAGTAAAATGAGGCACAGTCATAAGAACCAAGTGGTATATTCAGAGGAAACCTTATACTGGGAAAGGGAACAGATATGCGAGTTCCTATTTTTTAAATATAAGCCGAACCATGATAGTTCCATGCTGGGATTACAGGTTCTCCAAATGGGGGCAAAGCCACCATTTAATGATCCACCTTCTCTCAGCTAGCTACTGTTTTCAGTAGGTTACAGAAAGGGCATGATTTAGCTCAAAAAGATGGGGTGAGGGAATCCTGGGATAGAATTTATGGGTTTCCGAAGGGTCTCCAATGTTTCCCCTCATAATGCAAGAACTACAAGGCTTTTGGCCTTTATGTGGGCCTCACTGAGCTCTTCTTCCTGTTATTCCATGGGCCGCTTTACCTTTTCTAGCCAGAGTTCGTCATAAATCATTGCTCCATGTTGAGTTGAAAGTGAGAGGCAGTATGTCAGTGTGTATTTAAAAAAAAGATAGTTTGAAACATCTCAAGAAACTGAGTGGCTCAAGACATGCATCAGTCACCACAAGGAAGTTATGTGTGTTGTTAAAAGAGTGTCTGTTTCGTGTCTGAGCTGATCCTAACAATATGGTACCCATATCATCAACAATGCAGTCCTTTAAAAAAAATCCATCCATCCATCCATCTATCTATCTATCTATCTATCTATCTATCTATCTATCTATCTATCTATCTATCTATCTATCTATCTATCTATCTATCTATCTATCTATCATCTTCATTGATAGCAGTAATTCTTTGTCTTCGTCTTTCACATTCCTTTCTGACTTGGATTTTTCCTCTGATAATTCAACAGGTTTCTGTGGGGATTCATTTATATCTCAGATTGTCTTTAGACCAGTTTTGAAATGAAAACTAATAAAATTAAGCAAAGTGTTAAACTCAGAAATGCCGTATCGCTAAAGTCATGCTAAAATCAAAATGGAAAGACATAGTCTATAAGATATTTTTTACGCATGTTAAATCTGGATTATTGTCATTCCCATTCTTGCTATTGTTGGCTGCTATTCCTCTTCCTTCTCCCAGCAATCTCCAAATAATTTTTAGGTAATGTTTTCCTTTTTTCCCCCCCTTCTTTAGGTATATTGTGATGTCAGGAACTCCTGAGAAAATTTTAGAACATTTCCTAGAAACCATGCGTCCCGAATCAACGTTAAGTGAAGGAACTGGTAGGCTGGTTCCCTAAAAGTCCATTTGTAGTTTCAGAGCTTGGAAACCTTACTTTCTGGATTACAACTCCTAGAATTCCCTTAATAAGTATAGCTACTAAACATGCCAATTGGAATATCTGGGCAGCTGTAACAACCTGCAACCCCCACCGCCCCCCCATACACTTTCACAAGTTCTGTTGTGTGTTAATTAAAGAAGTACTGATTTTATCCTAATCTTCAGCACACTTTCACAAGTTCTGTTGATATTAATTAAAGAAGTACTGATTTTTTCCTAATCTTCAACACACATGCCAGTCTGTTTAAATTCTTGGCAGGCAGACTCTATGCAAGGTTAGCTGCCGAGGTTTACATTTATATTCTATATAGAGCTGTTGCTGTCAGTGAGTGTTAGAAGTAGCAATATATCTGCCTTCCAAAATCCTGCAGCAACGACCTAAAAGCTGGGCAATAGTCATATGGAATTGTTTTGTTCCTGAGTTTCTAATTTCTCTTGGCAACAATTCATGTTACAGTATGTTATTTTTTATCCCCAAATTTTCCAACATAACTTCATTTTTTAATGTATAGTATTTTGAAAGTCTTTCCCCCCCAAAATATATCTTTGGGCAGTATTCCATTTCCCAGCCACGTGCTATTGTTGTTTCATTGTTATGTAGAAGGGCCACAAACATCTGTAATCTTTAATTTACTTTTTTTTGCTTTTGCATTAGTTTAAAATAAAGGAAAACAAAAGAAACATCTAAAACAGTTTGTTATGCATAGCTGCAAAAGAAATCATGTTGTGGTCGAGATCCATTGGATTTTCTTAGTATTAAAATGCATTCATGTTTTAGGGGGCACAAAGACGGCCGTATTTTTATCGCTAGACTTCAAAGAGGCTCTCTAGGTTTAATGTGATTCATTTTTTAATTTGAGATGTGCAATAAAATAATGTCTGACTAGCTAAGAGTGTGACCCAAAAAGACAAGAAAGGCCATTCTATATAATACCAAAGGCCCATCTAGGCCAGTACTCATAAAGGCCAAGCATCTCCTTATGGGAAGCCCACCAAGCAAGACATGAGGAAAACAGCACTTGTGTCGCCCAGCAACTGAGCTGTCTTGGAGATAGCGTACAGCCATGGTATAACCATTAATGTCCATGGATAGCCTTATTTTCCATGAATTTATCTAAGCCCCTTTGAAAGCCATGCAAGTGAGTGGCCATCACTGCATCTTGTGGTGTGTGTGAATTCTGTGACTTAAAAATATACTGCCTGAAGGCATATTTGTTTCTCCCTCTCCTTAATGTCTCACCGTTCCGCATTGCAAGAAAAAAGGAAAAGAATTATCTCAATTTACCTTTTCCACCCACTGCATAAAATTTTAATGCATCTTTGGTACTCATCTCTTTTCTAAGCTAAAGAGTTTAACCTTCCTGTGCAGAGACTGGCTCCAGCGCCTCCACCCGTGTGATAGCCCTTTTCTACCTTCCTCCATCAGCACTATGTCTCTATGCCATTGGCACCTAAGGCTCCACAAGCAAATATGGGCCATTTCAAAGAGAACGTGAGCCTCAACTTCTACTTAGGGCTCAGTCTAAATGTGCCAATTGTTGCAGGAACATTAGCACACCATCTTTCGCTTGACCTGGCTCACTAGACCCTGGAGGTAGTCTGAGAACCTGTGGTGGTACCACAGTGGTATCCCCAACATGACTAAACACCATGCTGTACAGGATTTGTCACCTGAAACTCGGATCCCATCAGAACCTCTCCTCTCCTTTCCTTCTGTGCAGCTACAAGGAGATCGGGAGCCTTGGCTTTTGTTTCTGATTAATTACAACTGAATATGCCATCTAAGTTCTCAACTGTGATTATTCTTAACTACAGTTAGTGAAAGCAAGTACATTTCATAAACTATTGTTTGAAGTTGGCTTGATTAAATTAATCATAGTTAAAATTAACTACTTTGTCTATTTCATGTCACTGTAACCTTCAGGTTTTTAAAAACAGAAACAAAACACTTCTGAATGCATGCTCTCAGCTGCAGAAGAGTGAGAGGGGAACAGACAAACCTAGGGGGGAGTTAGACTTGTTCTTTTAATTGTGTGCGGTCTTCTTCAGATTCTTCCTGACTAGTTAAAAAATGGAAATCCATTTAGCAAATGGAAAATAGTAGAAGTTAAGTGTTTTGTTCAGTGCTAGAATTGGATGTAATTGTTCATTGGACTATGAAGCTACCTTGAGAACACAGGAAGGATTATTATTTGTTCTTACTTTTGGTTTTCTTTTCACAGATGGTGGTGTACATGATTTTGTTATGATGCACTGCACGTTCATGCCAAATAATCAGCTTTGTCCAGCACTGATGGCTCAATATCCTTTATGACAGCTACATACAAAGTCACACACACACACCAATAAATTTCTTCCTAGGGATGTACATTGTAGCATATTTCATACAGACAGGAAAAGTTTCTCACTGCTGGACAAGATTGCATACATTTTATGCATTTTTCACAATTTGCCAGCTTTGTGAAACATTTCAGAAGTGTTTTCACATGAAAAAGTATTTAATGTAAAAAATATTTTGCACAAAAGGAGAATTTTCAATATAAACAATAAACTACAAACGTCTGTGTAATAAACACATTTTCTGCTTTTCTGCATGACCTTGTTAGCTATGTGTTGATGAAAAAAAGTGCCGGAGCAAAAAAAAAATTCACAAGGTTTGACTGCTTTTTCAATATGCAAAGAAACTCCTTTTTATTGCTCGTTTTTCACTTTTCCTTTCTGTGATATGCTGTGAGCTTTTGTTGCATCCTTGTATCCGTCTAACATTTTTATTAAGTGGTGTTTGATTGCTGGGGATCTGTGCATCTCAGTATTCTTATTCTTCTTTCATTCTCTGTCATTTTGCAAGACTTTTCTTCTCCACAGAAATGATATATATATAAAGGTATATCATTTAGTACCCAGTGTGGTACAGTGGAGAGAGTGACAGACTAGAACTCAAGAGGCTTGGGTTCAAATCCCCATTCAGCTTGTGGGCATGGAACTGGTAATATCACTCTTCAAATATCTCACAAACCTTATAGCTACCTTATTAAGGTAGCTATGAGTTGATTTCCACTTGATGGCACATAACAAACAAGAGAGAGATGCCATTTAGAAGCCGTTTATATGTGCATTCATTATTCACATTCTTCATTGAATAAAATGTGTTTCTACACATCTTTGAATGTATGAATTTTAATTACATGCCTTGTAGAGACACGTGCATTGTTTCATGTGCATTTTTCCTTTTTGAGTCTAGGAAGCTTCTGAGGCAGGTTTTGGAAAAAGCCTTGAAAACAGTGGCTGTCTTTGAAGATGTGAATAAATATTTCCACATTGAAATACAAGCACCAATATTTTCTTCCTTGGCCATAGTGACAACAAGACTTTTTGCAAGCCATTTTTCATGTGCTTGTCTTTCTTTTGTACCTTTCTCTGAGTATATTGGCTTTATCACCATTAGATCTTTTGGGAAATATAAAATTTCCATTCCCCCCTGCCCCAAAAGTCCTGAGACTAACTTGGAATCACTTTTGTTCTGTAGAGGCCATCAAGGACTATGAGACAGGAGACAGAAGTAGTTGATTTCCAAAAATCACTGCCACGGGTAAAATAATCTGGCAGTGCCAATTTTCAGAAATTAAAGACTTTTCCCCCTTCCTGTCCTGCAGCCCCTGATGGCGTCCGCATAACAAAAGCGATCCTAAGGAAGCCTTGGAAACTTTGGGGTGGGTGGGTGGAATCACACTTTTTAAATCTCCCTAAAAATGTAAAAGGCTGTGGCCGATGACATCTTCAGCCTTATGCGGTCTACATTCACTACTGGATTTCAGCAAACATCTGTGAAGTGCTTTGAATAGAGCAAAGTAACATATAAATGCTGAGCACAATCATAATTTAAGAGTAGCACTGTGCACGTTCATGCACTTCAAACATGTAGCCTGGCATGGTGATCTATACTATCTTTGAGTTTCATCTCTTACAGAAGAACTAGATCCCAGATTATATTGACAACAGAACAGGCTGTGTAGTTTGTTACAATTTTCAAACTATGAAATATGATGAAATCAGTATTCAGTCACAACATCATTGTTGATTAATACCTTAGAAATTACAGACTCTGGCATTTATTTATACATAACACTATTATGCTGATATGCAGCATGAGGATTGGGGCGGGCGGACTCTGCTTTTCCCTGTGATAGAATTTGCATGGGAGGAATTATTAGCAGAATTAAAAATAAGTAGATGACTAATAGGAATATGGGGGGGGGAATTACTAGTGCCTGTGGTGAGTCACTTAATAAGCAGGTAAAAGGATATTAAATAATTACAGGGCTTGCACAATAGATGCCATGTGGAGAGAGTGACTCAGTGAAAAAATACTTGGTTTAGGAAATGTTACAGGAACCAAAGCTTGCATGATAACATCTATTCGCTACGTTCTGCCTCCATAAAATAGCTTGATTAACTTTTCTAAGCTCAACTAATTATTTTCCAAATTAAATAAAAATGTACATTTTTGCAAATGTTCGAAATCTCAGCAGTCAATCCAATGTTGTGGTTTCCAAGGGTTTTATTATTATTCCCAGGAAATCATTAAGAAATTACCATTTAATGCGAATAGTTTCTAAATGTTGTCTTAACATTTATAGCTTTGGTCATAGCGTGTATATTTTACCATATCATGTGGAGACGCAAGAGATTTATTTTTCCTTATGAATTGCTTGAACTCTGAAATCATTTCTCAAGTTCTTCTTTGATATATAGCAAAGCCTTCAGGTTTTGATTTGAAGGGAACAGTTTATGTTGAGACCTCTATTCAAAATGGCCTTCTGTTTGTCCAAACTGTCATATGTGGAAAATGTTTGGGGCAGTTAATTCCACCTGAGATGCACAAAACATTATGGTGTCCAATTTTCCTCTGTTTCTTAAGTATCTCTCTATATCTAGTTGTCAGACCTGTCTATCACTGTGCTTCAGATGCAGAATTTCAGAAGTCACGTCACTGCCTATACTGTACACTAAAATATGCTTATCCTGGCACCAGAGTTCTAGATAGATGTTATCAAATAGGAATAAGCACACCTGTCGAAGTAAGGCGGCACGGGACAGTCACTGTGCTTGATTTTCAGGTCAAACGTTGACCTGTCGTAAGGGAGGCATTTTATGCTTGAATAAGCTGTTGAAGAACACCAATGTCCATGTCCATTTGAAAACAATTAGGGCTGTAGAAAAGTTGCTCTCCATCAGCGGAGCAAAATCGCTGCACTGGGGGCGGAGAAACCGTTTTGACATTTGGCAGAGATGCTTTGTCTAGCTTGCTGAAAGGAAGTTGGCTACTAGTTGGATTATATCAGGGAGAAGATTGCCTTCTCCCATTCATGATGGAGCCTCACCACCATGAGTACCAATACCCCTGCGTGAAGATCTGTCACGTTAGCCTTCCCACCTGTCCTGCCTTTCTCTTCTGCCACTTTTATTACTCAGTGTGGCGTTTACCCTGTGGCCCCTGCTTGTTTCACCTAACAAAGACCTCACCCGAGGATCCCAACATGCCCTTTAACACGCTGCCACCAGTTGATCTCTTTATCAACCTATATTTCCTATGAAAGACTGAGATCCATTCACTGCTGAACTTTTAAACAGAAACAGGTTTATTGATTACACATTGTTTTAGGAATAGTTCTTAAGCACATTCTTAAAATTACACAAAGCTTCAGTATTTTACTTTAACCTCTTCTATCCTAATTACTACAGGTCACCCTCTGACTAATCACTCCTTAAACACACACTCTTTCTCTCTCTCTGCCTCAAACCCCCTAACTTCTTTTTCTCCAAACTCTGTCTCTGACTGAACTCCTCTAGACTCTGACTCACCCCTCCCTTCTAGTTTCTTTGGCTCCGCCTCCCAACAGCTCTCATTAGTACATGAAAATACACTGCTGAATATTCATACCAGGGGTGATTGCTACACTCAGTACAAAGGTTCCCTCTTTGTACTCCTTTCGCTCAGCAGCACCGCTCAAAGAGATGGTCATTTCAGGTGGCAGAGTGCCATGGCCACTGACTTGAACAGCACTCCCCCTCATGCCCACCCCCACCTTACCTCTTTCCCCAGTCCTGTGCATCTACTTGTGGCAGGTTTTGCTCTCTAGCTTCTACTCAACACCCTGCTTCCCCTTGTCACCATGATGATGTGCTGATTCATCATCTTGCACCCTTTTTTGTGTGTCCTCCTGGTGGAGAGAGGGGGACCTGGGCACTCAAGAGGGTACAAAGCAGGCAGGCAAGCTTGGAGATGAGCGGCCGTGGTTTAGGGAAAGGGGGCAGTGAGGGAGGCGTGGCAGGTGCCTTCCTACATGGTTCCGATCCTTTGCGGTTGGCGCTTCTTTCAGCATTTGTGGTAGGTGGCTGGGAAAGAAGCGAGGAAGGGGGTGGTGGCAATGGCAGTGGTGAGAAAAGCAGGGTTGACTTGAGCCGCAGGGTGGAGATGCTTCTCATGCCTCAAAGGACAGGAAGATCTGGGCTGGGTCTCCTCCTTTAGACCCTGACCTGCTCTTCTGCACTTCTTCTCCCCTTCTCTTCCTCCTGTCAGCCCCAGACGCCTAAACTTGCTTAACTCCAAGCCTGACAACATCCTGAAGTGGAATTCCATCCCACTGCAATTTGAAGGGCTCTCACAATTGCACCCTGGTTTTTAAAAGGCGTGTAGCTTCCCACTCCTGCAACAAGTGCATTCTCCGACTTAATGTCTCCAGCTTTGGCTAAGCCCAGTTCATGGACCTGTATTTTATTCATGTGCTCATCTATTTTATCACATTATAAGCTGGTTGATTCCCAAGTGGATCTTCAATGGTAGCATCCACTAACCCCCAAAGCAAACATTGTACACATTCTGGTGGTCCCTGGGAAAGATCTGCCAGGACATGGCACTTGCTGTTAATCATGTATAGATTTGGAGGGAGAATGCATTTCCAGTCCTTCAGCAACAGGCATTGTATTTTACACGATGTCCTTCACAGTGCAAAGAGAATGCACAGCACTGGGAAATTTAATGTGTTGGGCCTGTGTTGTTCAGAAAACTGGCCAGTTGTACTTCACTAGGAGAAGCCCTTCGGGTTTAACTTTCTCTCTCCTCTGTGTTAGATCAGGCCATTAAAAGCCACAAGAGTCTTTAATCTGGAAAACATACAAAAATGTTATTGATCTGAAAAAAATGCTTCTGGGCAGTTGTGTGTTTCATCGTACGTGCAAGGACTCACTGGAAATACATTATGTGGAAAGAAAGAGCTAGGAAAGTTGGAGAAAGGGTGTGGGGAAGTAGGAGAACAAATCCGTTTTCCTTGACATCGTGACACTTACCACGCTCAGCCTTCTCAGGGAACAGAGCAAGAAAAAATGGATTATGCCCTCAACAACAAAAGGCGAGTCGTTCGCTTAGTTCTGCACTGGGCTGCTTTGTACGGCGACCTCCTGCAAGAGGACGAAGCAGCGATGGCTTTTCTGGAGGTAGGTCACAACGGCAGCTATAACTGTTTCTTTATACTGAATATTAAATTGAGGCAAGAGAGCGGAGTCAAAACAGGCTGTTTTTGCAACCTTGAGAATTCTTCCAATGACACTGCTTTCAAGCGCAAACAGATCTTCCTGTCTCTTGTTTTAGTAGTGTTAGGGAGTTTTAGTAGTGTTAGGGAAAGGAGAAGAAGCAGGCATCCCCTCATTTGAAGAAGGGTTGTGCTTTGTTATATGGAAACCCCCAGGAAGACATGGGCATTGTCAAGATGGGAGTCTTAGGATGAAACAGGGTGAGGCACTCTGTCCCCATTTAGAAGCAGAGCTGCCTTAATGGACAAGAGATGCCTGTTCATCCTTGCACATGCTTTTTCCCACCACCATCTCTTTTATCTTGCCAACATGTTTGCAAATAGAGATGAGCATGAAGCCCTTCGTTATGCTTTGTCAACATTTGTATACGGTGCCATGTGTTCCTTCCCTCAACCCCCCAGAATCCCCAGCCTGCCTCCTCCTCTGATTGTTGGCTGCTGGAGGAGGCGGGGAAGGGAAGGCCAAGCTCCTGCCTGCACTGGACAGGCCACCTGAGCAGGAGGACCTGAGTGACAAGCTCTGGATTGTGAGTGAGTCAGCCAGTTGGGGTGGATGGGGGGAAGGAATGAATTTTGGTGAAGTGTGAAGAAGTGCTTTGTGCCTATCTCTACTTGCAAATCTTATTACTTTGAGGTGATAATCTGTTGCAGAGGATGATCAACCGCAAAGTGCAAGCTCAGCATCTCCTCTGATGTGACTCTTGGCAGGTATTTTAATGTTGTCATCCTGCCTTCAACATCCTGTCTTGCTCAAGTATCTTGGATGACAACTCCCATCATGACCAGTCCACACGGTCACCTCGTTGGGTTCCATTATTCTCAACTATCTGTTTTAGTCTAAAAGGTGGAAAATTAAAATGGCAAGACTGCTTGCCATATTTAAAAAGAGTAATAATAGGCTAAAATAATTAACAATGTGCCTTTCTTTAATTGTACTCCTGAAACAACCATTTCGTAGCTGGCATGACTAGTCCTTGCAGTCTCTTTTGAGATAATCTTTTGGTAGAAACAGTCAGTTTCAGAGAACATGTTCCTTCCTTTTGAACTTTTCTTATATGAACATCAATTTGTCAGAAAGCTTATTATTCAGTGGCTAGAATCTTGTTGCTTAGCATAGTAAGGTTCAGTAAAGTAACCCATTTGAATCAATGGAATTTACAAAGGGTTGACTCACCAAATCCATTCTGATTCAGTGGGCGTACTCTAATGCACCTTACTACACTAAGCAACAGGATTTCAGCCATAGTCTTAGGGGGTTCAAGGCTTGTCTAAACAATTTTGCTGAACACAGACTCTAGATGTTTGTGATATAACATTGAAGTTACCATTATCCTCATGTTTTGAATCATTTCTCCTTGTTTAAAAAAGGGAAAAGGAAACAACTCTGTCTGTTTTTAATAGGCTTTAAAAAGCTGTATATTCCAGTCAGTTACAAAGTATTAAATAAATGTTTATACTGTTATTTTAGTTGGAATTTATATACTTACTATTTTAAAATGTTATTTGGCAAACCTACATTTTGCTTCAAATGGTGGCATGAAATGTAAATAAATAAAATCAATATGTTTTTCGTAACTGACCTATATGTGATACATATCCAGACCAATCAATGGTGTTTTTGTTTTGTCGTTTGAAGAATATTCTTTATTATTTAACAGGAGTTTTATGTATCTGTATCAGATGATACAAGAGGGATCACAGCACTCAAAGACCAACTTCCAGAGCTAGAAAAGACTATGAAACAAATGTAAGTGCAGCTTTCTGTTCTTTGAACTCTCAATTATCTTTCAGAAATGTCCAGTACTAGACACACACCAAAAAAACCCCACACCAAACCATAATTTTTATAATAGCCACTACTCTAGAATTTACTTAGGATGTCTAAAGGAGTATCTGTAAGCAGACCTACCTAATGTTTCACACTCTTCAGTAAATATCTAGTATTATGAGAGACATTACGTTATGGTACTCTTGAGCTTTGCTATTCTAACAACTGACAGCTACCATAAGAATGGGGAACGTCAGTTGGCATCCTACTGATGTTCACGTAAAGTTAGTGTAACTTGCCATGGCTAACTATGGATAATTAATTGCCCACGTGCCAGAGCACCTCTCAGTTGCAGAGTTGAGCAGGTGACAAGGCACTTCATGCATTAGTTGCCATTATGTGTTCCATTATGCAAACCTTACACACATCTAAGTAGGATTCTGGCCATAGAGGTCAAAAATCCTACTGATGTGTATGTCACTTGTCACTGCCAAGGTACATCTTGGTTTGCAAAACTGGGCATGTTAGGAGGTGGATGACCAAGATGTGTCATAGCAACTTATCAGTAAACCGCAATTAGTTGCAGCAACTTACACAAACCTTGTAAGGATTCTGGCCACAGTCTTGGTGATAGAATTGAGCCTGTGGAGTCCTCTGCTTTCGGAGCTGCATTTTGCCCTTCCTAGTATTTGGAAGGTCAGTGGAAACCGTTTTGTTTCAGCCAACACATTCCACCACCATCACCCCCTCTTCTTCAAAACTGTTGCGAATTATAAACTGCTTTGTGTTCATGTTTGCGGGATTCTGGGTGTTGTAGTCCAAAAAAGTAATTTTTCCAAGCTCTGTTACTACTTAAGATCATTTTTTTTGTATTTGTATGCACACTGTTGTTAGCATTAAATACTGTCTTTAAATACTGACGTAAGTTGCTTTGGGACTTTTTTAAAGGAGAAAGCAAGGGTAAAAATATTTTAAGTAAATAAATAATAAACTAAAATGGGGAACTGCTGCTAAACACTTTCAAAATAATTTTTAAACAGTGCTCTGTTTGCTTTTTGTAGCTCAGAAGAAGCTAAAGCACCTCAGAAAAAGGTAATGTGACGGGCACACATAAAAATAGCTATTCTGCTAAGCACAGAAGATTACGAATCCTTATAGCTATGGATTGGGGTTTGTGTGTGTGTGTATGTGTGTGTGTGTGTGGGTGTGTGTGTGTGTGTGAGAGAGAGAGAGATAAGGAGACAACAAGTTCAGATACATGTACCATATTTTTCCATGTATATGACCCCCTTCCCACTTTTCTAACCCAAAATTAAGAAATGTAACCGGGTTTTAGCAAGTGGAGGGGGAAAAGGATCAAAGTGCTTTGATCCCTGCTTTGCCCCTCCACGTGCTAAGCCTTAGCAAAAAGAGGGGGAAGCAGGGATCAAAACGCTGCACGATCGCTTTGATCCCTGCTTTGCCCCTCCACTTGTTTTTGCTCTCTCCTCAGCTTACTTCCGTGTATAAGATGACCCTCAATTTTTAGTCTAAAGATTTTAGACAAAAGTATTGTCTTATACACAGAAAAATATGGTACTTACATCTCACAATGCTTTCTTTCTATACAGTTTATGATTTGTGTGCATGTGTCAGTGTTTTACATATACAGTGGTGCCACGCTTAGCGATCGCTCCACTGAGCGATGAAATTTCTTAGTGATGGGGTTTTGGCCATCGCCAGAGTGATCGCTTAGCGATGGCCCCTATGGGGAAAAATCGCTTTGCGATGATCGCGGGGAAGCGATCATGGCAAAGTGACCCTTTTTGCACAGCTGATCGGCGGTTCCAAAATGGCCGCCAGAAAAACAAAATGGCCTCCCGCTCTCGATCGCTCCACTGAGCGATGAAATTTCTTAGTGATGGGGTTTTGGCCATCGCCAGAGTGATCGCTTAGCGATGGCCCCTATGGGGAAAAATCGCTTTGCGATGATCGCGGGGAAGCGATCATGGCAAAGTGACCCTTTTTGCACAGCTGATCGACGGTTCCAAAATGGCCGCCAGAAAAACAAAATGACCTCCAGCTCTCTTGCCTCGCTTTAGAGGCACCAAAAATGGCCGCCCCTATGGAGGATCTTCGCATAAGGTCAGTTTTTAAGCCCATAGGAACGCATTAAACACGTTTTAATGCGCTTTCATGGGCTTTTTAAAATCACTTAGCAACATTTTTCTTGGAAGGGATTAACGTCACTAAGCGAGGCACCACTGTAAATGCTAAAAACTTAAGATACAAATTTGCCCTAACATTTTCATCTCCAGAGTAATACCAGTTGCAGGGAGGCTGCATGCAGGGAAGCACCTGTTTGTCCTTCTCTCGCATGTTTCAGTGCCAGTCATCATTAATATGCAATTAGCTTTAAAACTGGAAATGTGTCTCCCTTCCAGTATGGTTGGATTATAATATATTGCCTGTTCTCCCTCACTATTTGCCAGGCTGGCTGGCTAGGACAGGTGGGACTTGCAGCATCTGGAGGCCCACATGTTCCTTAGTGCTAGTCCAGAAGACTTTTCACCGGCATTGATGGAGTTGTTTTTGATGGAAGTTCTGTTCTGCTTTGTCTTTCCCAGCACAAAGTTCTTTTGCAGCACTTCAACACAAGTGATGAAAGAACACAGAAACGGCAGCCCATCAGGGGAAGCGATGAGCGTAAGTCAATGCAAAGGTTCACAAGACTGAAGCACCAAACGGGAGTGAGACTCAGTTTATCCCCCACTACAGCCAGTTGCTGCTACCCTAAGGCAGGATTCTACAAGCATTTAAATCCACACCTCCATTTAACCGCTCTACATATGAAATGCTATCTCAGCCTAGTTCCTGTAGCATAGATGCAGGATGCGTCTAAATAAGCCAGCCTGTGCTCAAGATTCATATCTAGGTTTCTTCCTTGTATGAGATTATTAGACTTCTAGCCACAGGGCGATACTCAGGTCTTGGAAATTCCCTGGTAACCAGCTACTAGATTTTAAATTGTCTTTTAATATCAAATGCTTTTACAAAGTACCTGGAATTTTGAAAATTTTAAGGTGACTAATAGCTAGACAATTTAAAATCTAGTACAGTCGCTTTAGGATTACCCCATTTAACGACGAATCCGTTTGACGGTCAGTTTTTTGCAATCGCAAAACGATGGTTTGGATGAGGTTTTTCCGCTTTGCGATGATCAGTTCCCTGCTTCGGGAACCGATTTTTGCTTTATGACGATCAAAAACAGCTGATCGTCGGGTTTCAAAATGGCCGCTGGCTGAAGAAAATGGCCCCCTGCTGTGCTTAGGGACGGATTCCTCGCTGTACAGGCACCGAAAATGGCCACCCCTATGGAGGATCTTCACTGGACGGCGAGTTTTGAGCCCGTTGGAACGTATTGAAGGGGTTTCAGTGCATTTCAATGGGCTTTTTTATTTTGCTTTACGACGTTTTCACTCTACAGCGATTTCGCTGGAACGAATTAACATCGTCAAGCGAGGCACCACTGTATTTTGAGGTAATTTTAATATAACTAGTATCTAGACAATTTAAAACCTAGTATGATTTTAAATTGTCTTTTAATGAGAAATATTTTTACAGAGTATTTGGAATTTTGGAAACTGTGAAGGTCTATCCCCCCCCCCCCCCGTGTGATTGGCCTGAGGACCGTAACAATAAACAGTACTGAGTGAAAAGTCAAAGTACTGTACAGCTCAGCCATTCAGCTGGAAAGAAACCTGAAGATTTAAGTTGTGCAGCTGCCTGAGCTCTTTACATCTTTGCAGACTGAAAAAACTTAATTGCCAGGCCTTGTAGCCTCCAGGACCAGCTCCTTGGGCAACCCTTGCTGCTGCCCAAGCCAACCCTACTGTTAGGCAGAATGAGGCAGCTGCCTCAGGTAGCAGCTGGCTGGGAAGCAAAGGTGAATGGGAAGCAACCAACCAAACAGAGCCTGGTGTCTCGTGTGACCTGCCCTGCATCCCTTAAGGAAGGGAGCCTTCTTTTCAATGCAGGGTCCTCCCCTATAGTTCAGATTCAGTCTTGTCCACTTCTATACATAGAAGGAGTGTGTCACCTTCCCATTAGCAGCAGGCAACAAAATATCTTGGCCAGCCCTAGCTATTATCATCTGTTCAAGTGCATTCTCCAAGCAGGTGAGTCATAAAAGAAATAAGGAGAAGGACCTGTATCTCCTGCCTGAAATGGGAAGTAGCGAGGAGGAAGAGAGGAAGAGGAGGATGGCAGTGATGGAGGCAGTAAATACACCTGAGAGCCTCCTGCCCAAGGATCTTTCAAAGCATGGACTTGGCCATGTTCACTCGCATACACCATAGAAGTGAACTGCGGGGGTGCAAGTACAGTTTTGAGAGAGCCATCAAAAGAGAAATCGTTCGAGCAAAGCTACTCGCTGGATGTACGTCACCGTATAGTGCATGTGCTGTTCCTGCAGCCCCTACTGATAACTGTCTCCTTTGTGTCTGAAGTTCTGTTCAAGGTGCACTGCATCGATCACACCTACACCACTATCCGCATTCCCGTGTCGTCTTCGGTGAAAGAAGTCATTGGCGCAGTCGCTGATAAACTGGGCTCCGGAGATGGCTTGATATTAGTAAAAATGAGCTCGGGAGGAGGTAGGAACATTTGCATAATCTTTAGCGCTCCTCATTTACCTTGAAGCAGCAGACCATGATGGAATGGGAAAGACCCATACCGATTTTGCCGAGCCTTTGCCAATTAGTTTTAATCTCTCTCAAACTGGACCGTCTCTCTGGAGAAGACACTGCGCCTGTCACGGCAAGCAGAGGAGTCTGCATTTCCGCACTTTCCAGTCCCCCCAGCCTCAAAGTAACAATCAGAAAATGGTGGTCTAAGAGTACAATGCATTTGCTTGGTTATTTCTGTGCTTCTTCCATTTCTATGCTACGTTCCTCCTTTCCTCCAGGTTGTTCAAGGTAGCATATATGGCTCTCCCTCATTCCTACCCATGAAAATGACTCTGTTACTGTAGAGATTAATAAGGAGATGATTAAATATGACCTTTCATATCACTGTGTGGAGTATCTTATGTGTACTCCCTTGGCAGTTACAGTTATGCTCCCCATGTCTCTAAAAGACTCATTACTATATAGTAGAACTGGGACGTATAGAAGAATATGTAAACTTAATTTAGCCCTTGGGAGTCAAAGGCAAACATTGATAATTAAACTTGATGTAATAATTTGAGTTCCTTTCCAAATATATACTTCGGTATGTATTTAGACTTCACTACAGATATATGATATATCTTCTGTTCCAGAATTATTGCTAAATAAACAGCATTTGCTGGAAAGGCAAAATGCACATTTATCAAACATCCAAATAATAGGAAGATGTGCCATATTCGCAGATGTGTGGAGGAGGGGAGAGAGGTCCCACCGTACTAATGACTTCTGATGTACTGCATTTTTCCGTGTATAAGTTGCCCCCATGTATAAGACGCCCCCCCCCACTTTTCTAACCCAAAAGTAAGAAATCTAAGTGGGGCTTAGCAACTGTAGGGGAAAAGGGATCAAAGCCCTGCAGGATCACTTTGATCCCTGCTTTCCCTTCCACTTATTTTTGTTCTCTCCTCAGCTTACTGTATAAGATGACCCTCAATTTTTACTCTAAAGATTTTAGACAAATGTATAGTCTTATACACGGAAAAATACGGTATTTTGTGCAGCTGTGGAAAACAACTAGGTAGGTCGTGCAACCTCATTTGATCCATACAGTAAGTGAAAAAGCAGTGGACATGCTTTCTGAGGCGGGGTCACCTTTCCCCAATGATAAAACATTGCAGTTTGAATACTTTGAAAATGTGACACCCCAGTAATCACCTTGAGGAACGAAGACTCCCTAGGTCTCCTGCCGAGAACGGTTAACAGCTCTCCATCTCTTAACACCACCTAGGGGTCGACTCAGTGGGCCAGTTTTCTCTTGCTCTTTTCTAGTCGCAAGGCTTCCGCCCCCCAGAACCTGAAGGGAATATTTAATGGGTGGGGAGCCAATCAAAATACCAGGTTGGGGGGGCAGAGATGAAGGAGAGCTTGACTGGAGCCCTGTAGTAATTTTGTCCCTACCATTATGGAGAGAGAGGCAACCAAGGCAAGTAGCAGCAGCTGCTGCAGAGTGGTGGCAGAAGTCCCCTGTACATTCTTCCTGAGCCTCCCAACCCAGATCATAGCCCCGAATTCAAAGTTAGGGCTGGCCTGAGTCTGAGGAGGATGGACACCACTGGTGTTGAGCGGGAAAGCAGGCAAAAGGTGGAATTTGTAGATACATTGGCCAGAATCTTTCTGATGTTTGCGTAAGGTCTGCGTAACTTGCCATGATTAATTGTGGCCAAGCAGCAAGATGCTGGGGTCTATCTTGGTAATGTGCCTGACCAGGCATCTGATTAGACAGCTGAGATGTGTCCCAGCACCTTGTCAATTAGTCACCACGAGCTGTGTCAAGTCACACAAACTTTCTGTGAACACCAGTAGCGTTCTGGCCACTATTAAATAGGTATCTAGTCTTGCATAATGAAATAAAGGTACAAAAAACAAGGAGACAGGTAACTCAGTGAGATCAACGGCCAGTCCACCCCTGGGAGTGGAAGGGAATCCAGAGAGAGGTTTGGGGTGGCCGGTATCCATTCTGTCTCGCAGCTGTGAGCCTGGCCACGGCCATCCCCCCCCCTTCTTGAGTGCTGTGTGTACCGTGCAGCTCTGCTCTTATAACTGCTTTCAGGTATGGCGAAGGCAGCTATCCCATCATCATATTCTCTGGTCATGTTGAGACCATTTGCAGGGAAAGATCAGGTGGAATACACAAAGTGAAGAGGTCCAGCTTGCCAATGGCTGAAAAATCCTACTGGAGCTATTCTAGTATCTCAGTCATGTGACAGAGACAGCTTCCATAAGTTCATGAACCGTCCTCTGCCATAGGGTCAAACAACCTCTTGTTTTTTGGATGAAGCTTTCACGAACTGCATGCACAACAGTTTTCTTGCCCTCTCTGTGGTTGCCCTGATTCTATGATCGCTGTGCTCTTTGTAGGCCTGATCCTGTCTAATGCTGTAGATGTAGAGCGCCCTGCACAGATTCCCACAGGCTTCAAGGAAGCTGGGCTCATGCACAGGCGGTCAGCTCAGCAGGCTGTTGAAGGTCTGTGCATGTCCTGCAGTGGCCCCATTCAGCCCTCTTCTGCTCCAGCCGACAGATACACCCTGATTTTGAGATTTGTGGCAAAGGAGTCTGTGCAGCCGATGGGAACCCTCCACACATGGGCAGTATGTCTAGCGCCTTATTTTTGTTTCCATTTTGCAAGCTTTAGGAAAAGGCAGACCCCCTCCTTTTTTTTTGCTATGGCCAAATATGCTTCTTTGCATTTCCTTTGTTTTGACATAAGATTTCCAATTTGACCTATAAGGCTGAAAATTACTTGAAGGGAAGGGTTTAGAAAGGAAGCGCATCTTTGAGGTACTGCTGGTTCCAATTTTGTGTGGCACTGTGAGTTCTGACAGAGTTAATTAAAATTCCAACGGAACGCAGACCGAAAGTCCTGCCAGGGAGAATCCTCGTAGCAAATAAATTGATGCCAGGGGTGCTGCTGTTTTACAATTTCAACAGGACGTCTTTCATCAGAGTAGGAGGCATTCTGATGGACATCTCGGCTGGGCAGAGACAGATTTATTCAAAGTAACTTAATAATAAGGCCTTCTGCACCAACCAGGGGTGTGGATTCATCTTTTAAAAAAATTGGAACTACAAGGTCTGAATATAACTAACAACACAATCCCAGCTATACCTCTGGAGGAGAAAGTCTGATTGATTTGTGGGAGGGCACTTCCTGGGAAATGTATGGATGATTACAGATGTCATATCTTAATGTTTCTTCATGTCAGAGCTTTGAAAAGCTCCAAACTGCAACTGTATCTCCCAGAATCCCCTGGGAGGACAGGATTCTGACATATGTCATCCAGAAGAGTAATATTCCTAAACCTGGCCTTGGTTATTTATTGTCTGGGCAGTAAGAACCACATTCCTTAACAAATGGCCTAGGACTGTTGTGTCACAGCTTGTCTGGTTTGTAGGTTTACATGGCAATGTTGCTTTCAAACATCACCTTCCTCTCAAGTTGAAGTGTGGTGAGTGCCAATGAAGGATGTGGTGATGTTTCAGATGTCATCTTAATTGCAGTGTCAGGATGATCTTGTCTTCAGCCCACTCATGGTTAGCTATCCCCCAGACCCAGAAAAAAAAATAATGTTCAAGATTTAAGTGATGCTCAAAGCATTAGAAAGGAAAGGCAAGTATTAGAAACCATCTCTGACTCGGATTAAAATCCAAGGTGGGGAAGAATTTCCAGTGCAACCTTCCTTCCTTGAGGAAAAGATCCAAGAAAAGCTAAGGCTGAGGGAGACATTCTGCTCCCTACCAGGGGCCTGGTTACCTCAAAACTAGCCTGTAAGATTTGGGTTTTTGGCCCAGTTTTGCTTGGATCAACCCTTGAAAGAGTCCCCTTTACCACAATAACGGGGAAATGTCTCTTTCGCTCTGCTGTTTTCCCCAGGAAAATAAAGGGTGGGATTCTGAAGGGCACCAGTCGACCTCAAGAAACCCTGGCAGGATGTAAGCTGTGGGCATTTCAGTTTTCCTGCAAGGAGATGTTCAGAGGCAGCCCCTGAGCAGAGTAGTGGAGGCATTTTGTGGAAAGTGGCTTCGAATGCGAGCTGAGGGAACTCAAAGCCCATCGCCACAAGGAACCCTCGGACCCCAAAGGTCCCTCATGAGGGGTTGCCTCTTTCCCCTGCCCACAGCTCTCCCAGGTTCCCTTCGAAGGAACCTTCCAGGTGAAAGAATAGAGACATTGCTCGGTTGCTTTGGCTGAGGCCACAGCTACTGTTTCAGGAAGGACCCAAGTCCCTTTGTGGTTTTAAAAAATGTGCACCGGTGCTCCTTTTCACCTGCGCCGAGGCTTTCATCCTGGCTGGCCAGGGCTGGGAGGCTTCCCTCAAAATGCAGGAAAAACAGAGTCATGGCAGCTGCCCTTCAGCACTGACCAGCACTGGGGACATTTCCTGCCCATCCTGGCGCTGACTGGCGGGCAAGGTTGGTTTTGTCAGGAGGGTGTGTGTGGTTCTCCCCACCACCACCACCCCTGGCATGGCAAGCAGACGGGATAGCTCCCACTCTAGCACTGTCAGTTAAGAGGAGGAAGCCTCCCGGTGTTGGCCAGCCTGCAGGCCGGGGACTGCTCCAGATCCTGCTTCAATATGAGGATTTGTATTAAAGCCGGATGCATGAAACAGGTGGTTTGGCACCTGTATTCAGGTAACCTGCATTTTAAAAAGTAACACAGGTTATTTGAAAAGGGTAATTCCTGCATAAGTGCCTTTTACTGACAATGAACCACACCCTCCCTGAGGTTTTTTTTTTTGTGGAGAACCAGATTTCAAATGAGCATATACCCTGTTTCCCCGAAAATAAACCCTACCCTGAAAATAAACCCTAGTATGAATTTTCAAGATGCTCATAATATAAGCACTCCCCCCCAAAAAATAAGCCCCAGTTAAGTGAAACCCCACCCTCCACCATCGTGCAGCAACCAGAAGAAGAGGACATGACTGTATTTGAATAATTGTAGATTGTTGTACATGGGTGGTGGGAAATCCCCTGAAAAAAAGCCCTAATGCATATTTGGGAGCAAAAATTAATATAAGACCCTGTCTTATTTTGGGGGAAACACTGTATGGAACGACATGGAGAAAAGCACATGAATTGAGCCCGGGTTTGAATTCTGTTTTGTTCCAGTCCCCTGACTGACAACTGAATTCCACTGTGATCAGTAATGAATGTTTCTGTATACTGGAGATAACACTTTTTATGTTTACAGAAAAGGTCGTGCTCAAACCTAATGATTTTTCGGTGTTTACGACACTCAGTGTCAACGGACGCCTCTTCGCTTGTCCTCGAGACCAGTTTGACTCTCTGGTATGTAAGTATGCTAGTCTCCGAAAACATTTCGGACCAGAGATGATGACTTGCTCCACTTTCTTGAAAGGTCAATGAGATGGAACATAGCCTAACCCACATATCCTAACTCAGATTCTCTTTCATGTTGGTAGCTTCCATGACACTGCCCATCCATCTCATCCATTTTATAGGAGAGAAGAAGACAGATAGGCTTATGGTGTAAAAGTGATTAGCTGTCCTGGTCTTATTCCCACTCCCCAGAATCCCCCTGCCCAACAAAAATGTAAGATTTCTGAAATATTATATAGGCTGGAGGCATAGAATAAATTCTTTAAAGGAATACCTCTGGCCTCTCTAACTAAAATCACTCAAGTTCTTCTCATTAGAAAGGCTGGCTTTCCCTAAACATTAAAATGTTTACAAGTACTTAGGAGCAAAGTGTTTCTGCTATCTTCAGCAGGGGTCCACTTTTGTCGCGCCAGCTTTTTTGAAAATATACTTTGTGTGGTCCTTTTAACTTCATTAAAAAGCATCTCTCAGTGCCAAGCCTTGTCAGCATGACTTCTATTGCTCCAAGCTTTGATACTGCCTCTTATTTTGCTTCTAATGAGATGCTTTATATAGCCTCTCATTTCTTTCTAGTTTACATGTAACTATAAAATGGATGTGATGGATGGACAGTGTCATTGAAACTCCCAACATGAATCTGACCCAACTCCGGGAAGGCAGTGGAAGACAGGAGGGCCTGGCATGCTCTGGTTCATGGGGTCACAAAAAGTCGGACACAACTTAACGACTAAACAACAACAATAAAATGAAAACCTTGCTCTTACTTCAGAGGCAAAGGTAGTTTCGGGTCTCAAATATCTTAAATATTTCAAAATATAAAGGCATAGAGATGTAATGGTGAACTCTTTTGGGTGGGCCCATGCTTACCCTCTTCACTGGTCACTTGCAGAGACCTTCGTGTGTTCGGGATGTGAGAGGCAGATTCCAAAGATCTGGAGGTAGAGTTTTAGCACAAACATGGAATCGGCTGATGGTTCAGGAACTCATGGTTGGTCTGAATGCAAACCTTCCCACTGATCTTTTAGAATATGTGAAGAGCACAGAATAGGCACAAGTTAAGTTCAGTTTCCAACCACATGGCACTGGGGGGGAGCATTAAAGAACACCCCCAAAGCCTACCTGTAGGCAGCTTTAAAAATCCTTAAGAGGATGATGCTTGACAATTTTTGCCATAAACTTTTGGGACTATCACTTAAATTTTTTTTTGTACTAGCCATAAATCACTGGTGCATGCCTGATGAAGGAATTTTTAAACTACAAAAGCTTGCATTAATTTTTTTAAAGTAGTCTAATAAAGGTATTTCATTCTTTTACATTTGTGTAGTGGTTTAGGGAGTTCAGTTCCCCACTGGGTCTCTTTGACAGGGGCTGAAGTCAGTGATCCACAGGGTCCCTTTCAGCACTGCAGTTCTAAGTCAATGAATTCAGAACTGGATATTTTGACATGATATAGATTTGGTTTGTGCTTGTCAGACTTCTTATAACAGTTTCATAACAGCCACTTGACATTTCCTAATATCTTCCTTACTAGCTGTTACAGATTAATAACAAACATAAAACTTAGCAGCAGACAGTCCTAACTGTAAAAGTTTCTAGTGCATATTAGTGCAGTGGTGCCTCGCAAGACAATTTTAATTCGTTCCACGAAAATCATCGTCTTGTGAAAAAATTGTCTTGCGAGGTTCCCTATGGGAACCTCACAAAATGAATGAAATTTATTCGTCTTGCGAAGCATGGGGCTTGGGGGGGGGAAAGTCTTGCGAAGCATGGTCATAGAAAAAACCATCTTACGAAGTGCCATATGGATTGTGAAAATCAGTCATCTTGCGGGTTTTTCACCCTGCGAGGCAATCGTCTTGCAAGGCACCACTGTACTTATTTAACATATTGCCAGGTAGAAAACTTGGCCGTGAGAAGGTAAATGAACTGCACTGCCCTCTTGTGGAGTAAAATGTAGCCAAAAGCCTAACTTCAGTAAGCTGGGGTGCTGGTTGAAATTCACTTCCCAGTTTCCATGATGGAAGCACTTTCATCAGCAGAATAAGAGCACTGAAACGTCCATGCATTTTTCTACCATATTTCTTTTGGTTTAGAGGAAATTCATAACTTTGAAGCAACTCTTTTATCTTAGTTTCTTATATTTAAATATATTTCAGAGAGCTGCTAAGGTAGCCTAAATAGATCAATAAATTTCACAGAAATGCATTTTTGTTGTTGCTGTTGCTATTGCTGCTGCTATTGCTATTGCACTTTTTGTTTCTCAGCACTGCTGATGCAATGGACAAACCCAAGGGTCAAACCTGAAAATTAGGAGTCAAGTCCTAAAAATTTATGAGTAATATGACAGTTTTACAAAATCACAGATTTTGAATTTCAGGAAGCAAATCAGCTATTGGCACTTGTTTTAAATTGGTAACCAAAGATTTTGGATTGCTGAAATTAGTATGGCACTATGTCTGTTGTTGATGGCGATGATGATGATACTGTTGTTGTTCCTGCTGCTGCTATGCTATGATTGTATTCTTCCCCAGACACCTGTACAGGAACAAGAGGGTCCTTCTGCTGGAACCATGGCAACTTTTGAACTCATGAGCTCCAAAGATTTGGCCTACCAAATGACTATTTACGAGTGGGAGCTCTTCAACTGTGTGCATGAGGTAATAATTCTGTCCAGTTATCGCTGTCCTAATGGAGGCTGTGTCCTGGTTGCTCCACATTACAGAATAGTAGCAGAGGGGAGATGAGTTTCCCTAGATCACTCTCTCCCTTCCAGATATCAAGTGGGAGGCGCCCCTTGGCACATTAAGAAGAGTGAGTCTTGCTGAAAATATACAACGTCTGTCAGTTCCCAATCCACAAACAGTGCAATTTATTTTTTGTTTTGTTTTGTTTTTGCAAATATATACAGGCTTACCAACTCTAAAATTACTTCTTGAATTTTAAGACCTTCCAAAAAAATCACATGTAACTTAGCTATATGCATGTTTATAAAAGATTCTTTTTATCTTCTTCTAGCTGGAACTAGTCTACCACACATTTGGAAGACACAATTTTAAAAAGACTACAGCAAATCTGGATCTATTTTTACGAAGATTTAATGAAATCCAGTTCTGGGTAGTCACAGAGATTTGCCTTTGTTCCCAGCTCAGTAAACGTGTCCAACTCTTAAAGAAGTTTATCAAGATAGCAGCCCAGTAAGTATAGACACTTGTATTGAAAGAACAAGTAATGTTCAAAAGAAGCACTTAAAACAAAGTTAGCTGAAAACAGGCAACTGTTTGCCACTGATGGGCAGCTTCACAAGATGGTTTCCACTAAAATGAATAATTGCTTTTCTGGATGAAGCTGCTCTTGTAGATCTCCCTCTGGGAGAAATGTTTCTCTTTATTGGTCAGGAATATGCAAGAGGTAAGTTGGTTTGAGAGAATGGAGGTTACTTCATCCGTTGGCTCCTTTTGCAGGAAGGACTTTGAAACCTGCTATAGGTAAACACTCTGGTCTCCCAGAAACCTTGGACAGCAACTCCCATCATCCCCAGGCACCATGGATATGGGGGTTGTGACCCAACATGTCTGGAGGACAACAGATGGGGAATAACATCTCAAATTGCCAATTTAATGTAATCATCATATTAACTTTTGATAAAAGCACAACTTAGAAAAGTTACTTTTTGGACCACACTTTGTAGAATTCCCCCAGATGGCATGGCCAGTTGCTGTGTTTAGCAAGAGGCTTCTTAGAATCCTGGTCTGGAAATGTAACTTCTCCAAATTCTGGGTAAAAACATACACATGAATATTATTAGGGAGGAATTTAAGAAGAAATAATAATGACAAGTAGGCGACCAAAAGTATTGCCAAGTAAACTGTGATTTAAAAAAATCACAAATGGATCATTTTCGTATAAACAGCATTTTCTTCAGGACACGGACAGCTTGCTATTGAGTGCTCTTCCCACATCATTCTAAAACTGCAGACAATAAAAGCATCTCCTGAGGGATAGCATAGGGTGCATGTTCCCTGCCTCATCATGGGAGACCACAGAGTTGTGAGAGTGTCAAGAAAACCTGCCTTTCGAGTGTGCCTTCACCTCTGCCCAGTTGTTTTCCAAAGAGTGATTCTACATGGGATCCAGCAGAGGGCAGCAGCATATATAAATATAGGAAAAGGAAATGGATTGTTTCTTTCCTGATCTACTGGCACTGGAGAAGCTAAATGTTACGGGGGGGGGGGGCAATTTGAACATCATTTCTTTTTTAGAATCACAGAATTGTATAGCTTTGCTCGTAATACAAAAGACATTGGCAGAAAATGCATCAGAATTGCTTCAACAATTCTAGGTTGAACACAGGATTAATTTTCTATATCGGAGCTTGACGGATTCCTGCTTAATGTGTGTGATTTTGTGTCTCTGCTTTGCTCCACAGCTACTCATGCCTTGTTGCTTTTGTTTTTGTTGTTGCTTTAAAGGAATCAATTTGACATTCAATGTGTCCTTAATAATAATCAAATGTATATACATGTGTGGGTTGGTCTGTGGGTCCTCACCCTAGTTCCAAGACCGTGAAACATATAGCATAGGTACTAATAACCCTGAGATGCACACGTGTTCATCTCAGAGTTATTTACTTTTTTTTAAAAAATGGAAGAATTTATGTTATTTAAAAACTGTCCATAGCTTTCAATACCTACTTGAGTCATGAGGTTTCCTAAGTAGAAAAAACAAAGGTGGAGGCAGGACTGAGAGGATAATTGCTTCACAAGGCAACTTCATCTACTGCTTCCATCTGTAGAAGCACCCTTGAAAACTTCAGTTAGTTTGGGGATCAGGTGAGGGTGGAGGGAGCAAAACAACCCTAGCACAAAAGTAGGTGGCGGGGGGGGGGAATGTAAAGAGCTGAGAGAAAGGGGGAGACCATCAGGGTGGGTGTAGAGGTTAAGGGCTTTCTAACAAACTCATGTTGTTACTTTTGCTAGTTACTAACAGAAACTGTGAACTTGTGTTGTTTTTTCCTGTTCCATTTTTATCAAGGTCATTCTTGTAATTTAAGAAATGCTACTAAGGCAACTTCTTTTAACAGTAAAGAGTTACCAGCAGACTTCCAAAACTTACTATGAAGATACGACATACAGAAGTAACATTTAAATTAATACGTCTGTTGGGTTGTTCTATCGCTATTGTTTGTGTTAGCCAGTCTCCTTCCTGTTGGCATCCTCCTGCATGGCTGTGCTATGCTTCGTCTAACAGAACAGCCCTAACTTTAGCCTTCAAACTCTGAACCTTTTCTGTTCCAGCTGCAAGGAATACAAAAACCTGAATTCTTTTTTCGCTCTGATCATGGGACTGAGCAATGTTGCAGTGAGTCGTCTCACAATGACTTGGGAAGTAAGTGAAAGAGTTGGACTTTGATTATCTTCCCCCCCACCTTTGCTTTTGCTGCTGTTTCGTTGGAGCAGTGAGGGCCCAAGATGAATCCTAGGCCAGGATCCCAAGAGTGGTTTAAAACTCATGGAAAGGGTCCATGCTCTAAGCCAGGGAAATATTTTATTTTTCCCCAAGCTGAATAGACCTGCTTTTGAAACAATTATCAGTTTCAAAAGCAGTTCACCTTTAGAGAAGGACTGGTCTTCACTAAAAAGCATATCTAAATCTTCCATGCAACTCACAGAGCTAACTTAATACAGGTTCCTATATTCTCGAGCTAGGACAATTACTTTCTGAAAGTAATTATTTCACACTACTCATTGCAGTTTTTCCCCTGTAATTACTTGCTATAATGTTACTTATTGAATCTTAGAATTGGTTAAAGAATAGCATAAAACCAGACAAACATGAGCCAAAATTCCTCTAAAACATGTTTCACTGCATTTTAAAAGTAACATTTGAAAGTCATTAGGAAATCTTACTCATTGCAAAGTAACCTTGATCCTGTGTATTAGTTTTGAACTGCCAGTTAATTACATCCTTCTTAGGCAGAAAAATAACTAGTTACAGTTAACAACGTAACTTGTGTCCCCCAAGCTCTGAGAAGTCCTGGGACTCTTTAGTTTAGTCATTGGGATTTATTTTCAGACAAGTGTGTGAGCAATTGTTGCTGCAGTCACCAGCATAGATGAAAGGGCTTTGGAGGCAAGAGAAAGAGAGAATTTTATGACACTGCGTTGACCTGTAGCACACACTTGAGGGACAACCCCCAAGTACTGCAGAATTTTGTCCATGATATAGTCAGATTCAAAAAGCCAGTCATTGGAAGCAGTGCTTTCTCAAATATATTGTAGTGAAAATGAAAAACAAATGAACACACAACACCAAAGCAAAACACCCTGAACACAACCCCTTCCCCCTGCATCCTAGCTGAGCACTCAGAAGTCCAAATTGGAATGTGGCTTTCTTTGCTGCTGTATAATGTCTGTGAACCATCAGCAAAGCTCTCTAGATTTCCCAGGGTGTTTGGGGGCTTGGAACCAAATCTGTTCCAAGCTTTGTGGCTCTCTATTTATAATCTGGTTGCTAGGAGACTTTCTTTATTTTTCACTGCTGCTTTGGTGGCAGAAGAACAAGCCTTTTTTTCCCATCTCAGGACTGTGTCTAAATACCATGCGGGATGAACTCCGTCTGTTCCTTAATTCAGACATGCGAGAACCCCAATCTGCTGGCCCATGGAAGGGGATCATGGGCATACTGGGCTGCAGAGGAATGAATTGGTGCCTTCATTGTTAGGAATTTAACCATTTGTCATGTGATAGAGGTTTCTTCATAGTGTGGTTTTTTTTTCATTAACAGAAACTTCCAAGCAAGTTCAAGAAGATCTATGCAGAGTTTGAAAGCTTAATGGTAAAGGACAGTAGATACTGAATTCTGGATGTGATTACGTTGACAAATAATGTGGGAAATGATCTGAGATTAGTACAGTCTGATTTGTATTATGTTCCATTGACTGCACGATGATGTGAATCAGCCGCAAGTCCATCCCATGTGTATTCCCCCACACACACACACTGCTGCTGGGGTTTCTACTTTTTTGGAATTGAATGCCTTCACATTGGTTCAGGCAGTGTGATGGATTTAACTGATGTGGAGGGATTTTTAGCTGTTGTATATGAAGCAATTCCAGCCTATTACAGGGAGAAAGGCAGTGCAGCAGGGGAACTAGTTGTCATTTGAATGCTTTCCTCCCTATACTGAGTGCCTGGGTCAACTTTCATCTTCCCATTTCATTTCTTTCTTTTTCTTTTTTCTTTCTTTTAAAGGCCTGCTAATCTGACACTAGGGCGTCTCGGTGACTAACAGGTGGGAGGGAGAGCAAGGACTCTGTGCAGGAGGCAAAGTTAAGAGTGGAGCTACCTTAAAACTTCCGCCCCTCTCTCTGCTGAGTCCTCACTCTTTTTTTCTTAAGTTCGAAACAAAGCTGAAGTGGAAACTTACTCCTGTCTTTCTGCTGATTGCTCTCACACACGGTTTCCTTGCTGTCCTAGTGCCAGGACAGCAAACCTTTAAAAGAAAAGAAGAAGAAAAAGAAAGAACTGAATAGGAAGGGAAAGGAAGAGGGAAACAAGTAGACTCAGGCACCAGGTGTGGGGAGGAGTCAAACAGTCAACAAGCTGGAAACAAGGCTAATTTCCGCATCTTTCTCTGCTGACTTCTGTGTGGTTGGCTGAAGTGAATTAACTCGGAGAAACCCAACTTCTTGGGTGCAACTTTGCAACAGCTCCATTCACATTTTTCCTGCAGTGTAGTCACACCCTCACTCTTGTACTGTCTTAAGCACTTGATTGGAATTTCAATGTTTTATGTGTCCTTGTGTGACTTTAAAGAGTTTATGAGCCCTTTATAGTGCTGATAAAACAAGCATGTATGACTAATAAATTATGCTCTCAAGGAACATATTCTGCGGGAATGTATGCCTCACTTAAGGTCAGTTTGGGAAATGTAGAAAACTTTTATCTTCCCCATATATCTTGGCTGGATTATATATTCCAACCTCAAATTTTATCATGCATTATTGTTACAGAATCGTGATTTTACAGCTTGTAGAGATGATTCACCAAATGCTTGATAGACAAAACCCAGAGAATTCCATTCAAATAAGTATGCAGTTTAATAATCATAACTCTACCTGTGCTTTCCCATTTGATAATAAATACTTGGTTTGTAAACACAATCATCTGAGTACATCACATATATTTGAGGGTTGAGGATTGTTACTTGTGCAGGTTTTAGTGACATAATTTTAATGTTTGGTGTTTTAATTTTGTGTTGTTTGATTTTAAATTGTTTTAAATACCTTATGTTTTAGAATTGTTTTATACTCTTTTGTAACTAGCCTAGAGGTCCTATGATATACGGTGGGCTAGAAAGGAAGGAAGGAAGGAAGGAAAAGGATGATGGCTTTCATTACTTTTAAGGAAGGACTAGGAAATTGTTCCCCTTTTTAAAAAACCCCACTGTATTTTATGAATACTTGGATCTTGCCCGGTACGAGTAACTGTCTGTGGTTTCTTCTCCTTAGGATCCCTCAAGAAATCATAGGGCCTACAGACTCACTGTGGCTAAGCTGGAACCTCCTGTTATTCCCTTTATGCCTTTACTCATAAAAGGTAACGAAAGCAGAGGGGAGGGGAATGCAACGGGTTAATGAAAAATAAAACAAGGGATCTTAAATGAGAACTTGGATCCTTGGGTTTTCAAGTTTTTCTTTTCTTTTTCTTTTTACAAGCCACAAAGAAAAAAGACATGTTTTTGTAAATTGTAAATCACGTCTAAATGTAGTAGCGAGTGTAGCTTTTAGAAGACTTTTACTGCTCCGCATCTTAAAATAATGATAATTTGTTATAAATGTTCACAAGCACATGCTTTGAGTGAGCAGTTGTGTATCTGAAGGGGTATCATTTGTGCATATTCTATATCTGTATACATTAAGTCATGCTAAATTCATACCATTTATGTCTTTTAAATTGCAGATATGACATTTACTCATGAAGGGAACAAGACTTTTGTTGACAATCTGGTGAACTTTGAAAAAATGGTAGGTAAAGAGTACGTAGATAAACATGTATTCCAGTATATCTTAATGACGATGTACCTGTTTTTCTCAGCCTGGTAACTTGAAGTGTGTTAAGGTACAGCTCAGCTCCCATCATCTGCAGCTTACCTGACCAAAGAATTCCAGGTTGGCTGACAATGGTTGGGGTTTTGCCCCAACCAGTCTGGAGAGCTGCAAGCTGTAGAAAGGAAGGCTGAACCCTGGACAGTCGTTTTCCTTCTGCTGACATCAGGGGCGAAATACGTTAACAACATGCTCTTGATTTGAGGATGCTGGGATTTCTACTATTTGTATGTGGCAGACACCACACAGGCAGGGAACGTTCAGACTGGCACGTTTTCATCTATCTGTTTATTTAATGTAAATCCTACATTTCTCCTAGAGCTCGGATTCTAGGTGGCTTCAGATAGGTACAGATTAAAAGCAACAACAGAGAAAAACATATAAAAGGTTATCAGAGTACAGTACATCAGAGTTCCCAGGAGATTCTTGCTTTCCTGCTGCAAATGAGCCTGCAATTTAACTTCATAGTAATATTTTTTTACACTTATTTCTCTCTTGCAGGTTGATTTTATGAGGCTCTTTCATAAAACTATGATTTAACTCAATTTTTTTTCTCTTCTGCCAATTCTGTTGGCAGATCCCTCTTTCATTTCGAGTGATTAGACAATTATTGATCTTGCTAGAATGCCCTGCTTCTCTCGCAGACAGTTTCTGTGATACCAAAGAATTATCCCTTTTTCTGTTCCGGCTGCTTCTTTTTCCATCTGTCAACTCTCACTCAAACCACCTGTTCTCCAAATAAGCCTCTAGAGGGCAACCTCCCACACACCAAGTCAGGGGGCGGTGATGATGATCTGTTGACAAGCACTGTAGTGCTTAAAACACCCATTTTAGAAGGGCCTTGATTCTGCATGGCATCTCAGGCAGGCAGGGACAGTTCCCGAAAGCATTTAGAAACGTGTGCCATGGTCTCAGAAATCTTTCCTTTGGTCATCATCACCATATACGCCTGAGACAAAAACCTAGTTTTCAGAAAAGGGAGATACCTCTGCGCTGTTCCACTTCAAAATGCCGATTGACCTCAAGATGATCCCATATTCCTCAGTATATCCCTAAAAAAATAAAGTAAAAAAGCATCTCTGAACCTAGAAATCTAATAGTTAAGAAGAAAGAGTATATGGTCCATTTTTTCTCTGGTCATGGCAGTTTTGTATTTGTATGGATTTTTTAAATATAAGAAAGTATTCCTTTATAATAGCCCACAACTGCCTACTGAAGGGGTCTGTCTGTCTGTCTGTCTGTATGCCTTTCTTCCAATAAAGGAACACACATTAGTACATTCCAGGTGCAGAGGGTTTTTCCCCCATATCCTCAGTTCTTTCGGAGAAGTAAGCCTTACACTACAAGGCCCAAATCAAATTTATCTAGGCCCAGATCTCGTCTCTTAGCCTTTATGGCTTCTGTAAGAAGAAGGAAGCGTGTGGCACCAGAGTTGCTCCTCAGAGGGACCAGAGGCAGAGAACTGGACTGTTGAATAATTGGCAGGAGGGGCTGAGGGCCACCTATATCCTTTCTCACAGGGGGAGAAAATCCTCCGAAACATCTCGTTTCTGAGTGAGTCTGACCGACACAAGAGTCCTTTCCTTTCTTTTTCCTTTCTTTTCTTTCTCATTTGTCCCTCATTAGCAGTTATAGCTTGTTTTTTGAGTTTGGAAGAGTTACTTTTTCAGACAACACCTCCCAGAATTCCCAGAGGGGAAAGCTTTATGTACAGCTCATGAAAGTACAGAATTCTAGGAACTGCCATGAAGAAAAGTTAGCTTTGCAAAGCTCTGCCTGTTTTGTCAGCTCCTTCGCCACGAGTTTTAACACGAGCCCTGGAGTCGGGGTGAAACACGGGTATCCTTCTGCATCTCCTATTCTGACTGGGAAATCAGGGTCCTGTGAGGGGTAGAGGGCAGGAAGAAGAACTGGAGAGCACAGCTGGAGAGCTGCCAGTTCAGCTTGGACAATGCCGGAATTTAAGATGCGATCAAGCGCTATGAATTTGTGTTGTTAATGTGGTTTTAATTGCTCATCTTGATTAGTATTACTTTTCCCACAGTTTTATAATGTTTTTTGGTTTTAAACCTGGTGCCTAAAAGCAGCAGCTAGCTAGATCCTTCAGTGCAGCTCACACGGGTACCCTCACTCCTTCCCTCTAACTCTGAAGAGAGAGAGAGAGTGCATGCATATACCTAATTCAGCAAGTCAGCTTCAGGCAGGGCCTCAAAACCTAAATTTTGTGAATCTCTGTTTTCCTTTTGGTTATATGCTACCCTGAGAGGGCTCCCACTCAGAGGTGGCTTGCATTTCTTCTGTATCGACCTATCCGTGTACCAACTAGAGAAACCTTCTGCCCATTTGTAGTGGGCAGTCGCATGCCATCTTGATGGCAAAGCAAGATGCAGGGGAAGACATACAGGTACAGCGCAAAAATTGTGGTGGAGAAAGAACTGTTGTGCAGCTGACCATGCCTCTCTTGGATGCTTCCTGGAGTGTCTCTGCCTGTGATTCTTGCTTGGAGCAGCAACACAGCCATTTGAAGGCACCTCTTTGCAACACAGGCTTTCCCATCCATGGCAGTACAAAATAGTGCCATCAACCACGGGTTCCTCTTTTTACCAAGTCTCTTCACCCTTGAGGTGTGAAATGAGGATTAGCAAATGTGTGCATATTGGTTTTCAGCTTTCATGGATTTGAACAAAAGAGAATCCATGCACTGATCCTTACAGGGAAAAAGAGAAGGCAAGCATTCTTTCATTTTTGGAACATAAAGATTATGCAGAAAGTATGTGACTTAAAACCCTTAGTAAGGGGGGGGCAGGGTATGGCATGTATGAATATTCATGATAATATTGAATCCTGACCTAGGAATGGATTAGCAGATAATGTACTGGCCTGCTGCCACATTATTCTAGGGTACAGACAACCTGAACCTGGAGCAGCAGTGTGTACATGAGGAGAAAACTATGGGGAGAAAAACTGTAGAATAAATATCCATTGTATTAGATGGTTGGTTCTATTTTGGAGTGATCCAGATTTAGCGTTTCATGGATTTCCAGCAATAGTCTTCCAAGGCATACTGGATAAATATAAGATTGCTTGGAATGGGGGTGGAAGACAAATATTACACAACCACAGTTCTGCTGTTGTCACTGAATTGCAATATATATGTCTGTCGGTGTGTATGCATATAGATAGATGGGTAATACAGATATCCATGAAATTTCTTTTCTTTCTTTCTCCCAAAACTGGGACCCAAAGTGGTTCATGACAAGAATGAAGACAGATGAAACACAAAAGTTCTACCAATCAATACAAATAAATACAAATTATAACATGAAACCACTATTAGAAAGTACATCCACCGCCCGTTAAAAACTTCCCCAACAACCACTCAGTTGCCAAAACGTTTTCCTGATTGTGAATGTCTTTGCCTGCTGGCAGAAAGGCAGTTCCACAACCTGGGAGCTACCACGAATAAGCCTTCATTCTGTATATATGTATGTATGTACACATTCTGTATATACTGTATATATGTATGTACACAGAGGAATGTTGAACCCTTTCCCAATCCTTTATACTTGTAAATTAGAATAATAATAATAATAATAAAACTAGCTACTGTTTCTGGTTGGGTTTGTTCCAGTGCCCATAAAAATGCTGTTTTAGAGCCTGCGTGCTAGGGGGAAGCACTCAAAAGGGGGCCCTTGCTGCTGGTGAACTCGTAAAGGGACTCAGGTGTAGAAAAGGCATGTGAATTTATACAAGGAGGAGTTTGCCCGGGGCTTTCTGTAGTGACCTACTTTCAATCTGAGTAGATGCAATGTAGTCAATGAAACTTGAATTACCCACGACTTGGGTCCTTCCCTTTTGACATAATCCTGCTCTGTGTATGATGACGTTTAGAGCTGACCCACGTTTTTCTTCTTGGTGCTGTGGGAATGTTTGTTTGTATGTGAAGAGCAAGACAAGAGCAAGTGAAGACCCTGTTTAGCACTGAAGAGTACCTTGAAAAGGGGGTGGCGGCAGCTGTTTTAGTAGCAGATAAAGGAGATTACATCAGTTCACAAAAGTCAGGTCTATCAACAGGTATAATAGCAAAGTGAAAGCAACATGTTCATTTGGGAATGCGTGCTAATTGTGTTAGCACAGTCTAGTAAAAGTAAGTGTGTGGCTATGGATTAGAAATAAAACAGGATGCTCATAATAAGGTCAAAGTTTAAGAAGACAGAATGTACCACTCGTACTATCCTGGTTCCCTCAGGGGACAAGAAGCTGAGCTCATGTGTCAGTCAGCTCCTGTACAATCGGTTGGATCCAGATTTCAGCCCGGTTTTAAAACACTTCAAATCCAGGAGCAGCTATGTCTGTCCCCCTCTGTTATTCCTTTATTCACACAGTTATAGAGGAGTCGGGGGGAGGGAGTTGTTGATTGTGCATACCCTCTGTGTGCAAGGAAGAATCCAGGCCTTCTGAGGTTATTGCTCTAGTGTGGAGTTTATAAATGAGCAGGGATCTCTTTTCAGACGAGCCAGTATGTATGTGCAGAAAGTGACAACAAAGCAGGGTGGGGCTGAGTGCTTCCTCTAACCACTTTGAGGATATTTAAGCAAAAAAGCAAAGTGTGCTGCTTATATTCTGCCCCATAGCCCTTAAAGCACCCTCTGGGAAGTTTACAAGTTAATTAGATGGGAAGTTAATTACACATTCCCTAACCCACCCACCCCTTGAGCTGGGTACTCATTTTACTGACCTCGGAAGGATAGAAGGCTGAGTCGACCTTGAGCCAGTTACCTGGGATTGAACCCTGGGTCGTGAGCCCAGTTTTGGCAGCAGTACAGCAGTTTAACCACTGCACCACGAGGCTCTGTAGATTCCTTCATGCTGAACAGGGATTTTAACTCCGGTCTCCTGAATCCTGGCCAGATGTGTTTCATGGGCCCCACAGTAAAAAAAGGGCTGTGTATGGAAAATTGCACAGAATTAAAACCTAATGTAATCTCACCTAAAACTGTTTTCTCTTAAATCCATTTGTTGACTATTACTTGATTTGTGAATTATAATTTATATAAAACAATTTTTTTCCTTGTAGCGCATGATTTCAAACACCGTTCGGACTGTGAAAATCTGCCGGAGCCAGCCTTTCAGTATGTACTGCCATATTTGCACCTTCACGACTGTAATTTTACATCTGGATCTAGCACTGTGAGGTTACAGATGGGTGTGTGTGTCTTTACGGTTGAGAATGATAACCTAGCCAGTGGTGGTGAACCTTTTTGGGCTTGCATGCCCAAACTGGAAAAAAACAGGGCGGTGTGCCGCCGCCACTGCGGTTCCAGAAATGGTGGCGGCGGAACCAGAAGTGGTGGTGGAAGGGGGAATCCCGGGCACAGAAGTGCCTCGAGACCCCACTCCGGATCCGCTGCCAGCACCAGCTGCTCCGGATCCTGATCCGCCGCCAGTACCGCGGTTGCAGCTGCCTGCTTAGGTTTGGTTACGGAAGGAGTGGGGAGTAGCAATCCGGCAACCTATGGCTCTCATGCCGGCAGAGAGGGCTCCGCATGCCAGCTGTGGCACGTGGTCCCTGACCTTCGGTCTCCATATGTTCTTGGATGACAACTCCCAGAAGCCTTCACCACTGGCTGTGGTTGTTGGGGTTTCTAGGAGTTGTAGTCCAAGAATATCTGGAGACTCAAGGTTGGGAACCACTGGCTTAAAGACACAATGCAGGTCCACTGAAAACAGCTAGATTTTGATGTTGTACAATAGAAGCGAAGGTTCAGTTTAGAGATTATGGGAATCTTTGTCATCAAATTGGCCCATATTTGCTTACAATGTAATTTATTGCATTGCCAGTCAAAGGATGTCCATAGCTTTTCTGTTGTGAGTGAAAATAATGAAGAACAGCTAAGGCAAGTGAAGTCTTAGGTTGTTGGTCAAATATCAGGGAAGACTATGGCAAGGTTAATTTAAATGGGACAAAAGTAGCTGAAGGTTTGCAAGTTGGCTGCTCAGGCTATGCATATTTATATATTGTTTTGTTGAAAGACAAAAGTAATTTGCATATTTTGCTCAGGCTTGAGTTTGACTAAGCATACCAATGGAACATTATTTCTGTTTCATCAGATCCTGATGCATCTCTGGCAAATAAGAACCATCAGGATGTCCGGAGTTATGTACGACAATTAAGTGTGATTGACAACCAGAGGACTTTATCACAGATGTCACACCGACTAGAACCACGGCGTGCTTAAGTGTTCCAAATGATTACACCTCCTTCTCTCCCCCCCCCCTTCAGTACAAGGTCATTTGTTAAGAAGGCCACCTTTTCTTGCTACTGCACTGCCACTACACAACTGTAAGCAACAACAGATTCCAACATCTTTGATAATAAACGCACAACCTACCTGCCATACCCAGGAAATGACAGGAGGAGTTTGCCTGGTGAAGAGGCTGTCTGCTGTAGCTAGGGGGTTGCCTAGGTTCTATATTCTTATTTAATTCTGGGGGTGGGGGTGGGGAAGGGGGGAGTATTGTACAGAATAGAACTCTTTATTTATAAAAAGTGGGAAGGAGAATGCTCAAATACAGGAAAAAGGAAACAATACTAATATTCTTTTCAAAAGATGGCAGGGGAGAGAACCTAAAACTTCTGCCATTTCCAGGGAATATATAAAGGAGTTCTCTTATCTAACAAAATGAATCACAGTATTTTCTAATTCATTATTACATTAAAGTCCAAATTTTGCCATTGAGTTTGCATGTTCAGCTCCCATGAGCTTTAGAAGCAAAAATAAATAATGGCGGAAAACAGGTACTGTAATCTATTGCCATGGTATTCAGAGAAGAGTTAAAAGCCTTTCTTTGTGAGAGAAATTTATATATTTTTCAAAAGCCAGCTCTTAAACCACATTTGCCTTACACCAGTAGAGCATTGTGGCCACAAGGTAACCCTAGGATTCACTGGGTCTCTAAGGCTTGGGTACATATTTGCAGGGTGGATTTGATTGAAATCATGATTTAAATCACTAGTCAGTAAGCATTTTATTTTTTAAAAAGATCTGATTTAAATTAAAAAAAATAGCTAATTTAAATTTTAAAAATCTGAAGTTTTTATTTTTATTGGATTTTTATTTATATTGGGCTTTTAAAAAAAAATAGCATACTGACTAGTGATTTAAATTGATGTGATTTATGTCAAATATGCCCCACATATTTGTTTACATTTCATTTCTTTAGAGCGTTTTCTTTCTTTTTTTAAAAACTGCCAATCAGGATTTTAGAAACACCAGTACAAAAATAATGAGGTTTCTACATGGGGGCAGGGGGCATACCATTAAAAGCAGCAAAAAAAACAACCCACCTCAAAATAAAAAATAACTCCAACGTCTTCAAGGGGTGAAAAAAGAGCACAATATGCACAATTTCTTTCAAGGTAATCTTTCCTAGACACTGACATCTCTAATGTAAGCTGCAATTTTGGCTGATTAAATCATATTTTAAACTTTACAAATTGCCATTTAATTTTCAGGAACTGTTTGCACTTTTAAGTAGGCAGGATATAGAACTGTTTATCATTATAAAAGTTATTTATTTCTATATGTGTTAGTTGTTGTGCCATGATAATTATTTTATTTTATTTCATTTAGCATGTAATTGAAGTACAATATGATCTTTGTACTTAGTCTCTATTTCACGCCTATGAAAAGTGAGTTGTTTGTTTTATGTAAATAAAATACACTGTCTTCATTAAAAAGTAACCACTGAGTATGTTGGGTGTCCTTTATTTAATATGATAACATCTATTACCTGAACCTTGATCCTTCTTAATCTATTGCCATAGACACTATCTCTTGCCCAGTAATATAATAAGTACTGTACTTTCTTCCTCTCCCTGCATGATTTTGTTCAAAGTCATAAAATATCACAGCCAAAGAACAGGCCCGGTGTCAACACCTACCCTCTTAGGGGGGCTGTACGGGCCCCGGTACACCAATAGGCCCACGAGTGCTGACAGCTGCCCTAGGCCTTTCACATCATCTCACATCTGGGTCTTCAGTTCTTTGTTTAATGTTTCCAGTGCTCTGGAACAGAGAGATAAATCTTCACTTGTCTCACACTTGCAGACAAAAATGAGGAACTACAACATTGGTTTTCTTGCCAATGAACATGGTAAGGAATTTCCCAGAGTGTTGGATAAACAACGTTTCGAACAAAATTGCCAGATTTAGTTTTTCAAAAGGGTACCATGTGCAGATCATGTCCCCTACCCAGATTAAGATGATTGCTGTCTTACTTAAAGATATGAAATGCTAGAAGGGCTTTTGGTGTCTTTTGTAACAATTAATCAGCCCTTCTGTGCTTACCAGACACGTGTGTTTTGAGTTACAGGGAATGGAGACTAGATATAGTTTATGCAAACCACAGAGACCCGGTGGTAGTGCTGAAGAGCACTTCATCACCTCTTCCTTGGTGGCAAAGAACCTCTCAGAACTTTAAATTCCTTACTGATCTGATCAATGCACTGTGAAGCATTGTGGGGAAGTAAATGGAAAGGCTCTTGCTTCCTTTAAGTGCTGGTAAGTCAAAGGTGCCCCATCCACATAAGAAAGGGCCACCAAGGTCACTCCGTCCTGGGTCATTTCAGTTCCAGACCCAACTCAGGGGCAGATCACCCGCTTTGTTTGCAAAAAGTTCCACCATCACTCACTTGTGTCTCCAGGCAAGACTGGGATAGGCTCACTAGACTGAGTAGTTAGTGCGAGGGAGGTGAATCTTGAGTCCTTTGGTGGAATTCAGCCTTTGGGGATTCCTGAAGTGGCCAGGCCTTCTCCCTGACACCATCTCTTAGTGCTTTTCTAGCTTTTGTAGGTCTCTTCTGCATACTAGAAATGTTGAACCATGTCTTCTAAGACTTAAGTCAGTGAGAGTTTTAGGTTCACAATAGTGGTATTTTTGATCCCCTTTGTCCCCACGCATTTCTGAAATGCAGCTCCTAAGAACTTCTCCATAACTGAATTGGACTTGTGGGCTGAAAGACCTTCACAGTCCTTTCACTGGTCTGATTTAGCCCAACATGTTCCTATGTACTGCTTTGATTATTTAACTCCTTCCTTCCTTCCTACCTAGAAAAATATGCCTATAAGAATCTAGGAATGTCACATTTTTACGACTTCCTTTTTCAAGCCAAAGAAGTGCAGTCATCTAGGGAGAACTCACTGCAGCTGGTCAGCAGTGATCCACTCATGCTTGTTCTGTGTCAGATCAATTTAATTCACAAAGGACACATGGGCAAAAGACAAATGTTAAAACCTGGGGGTGGGGGAGAGAGCCAGCGAGACTTTAAAACCTTTTAAAAATTCAACCAGAGATTTTCTCTTCCCAAATGACAGGAAGTGCACTATCATTCTTTGCCTTCTAACAATGATTTTAAAGTCGTCGTCATTGTTTAGTCGTGTCCGACTCTTCGTGACCCCATGGACCAGAGCACGCAAGCCTGCCTCCCGTAGTTGTGTCAAATTCATGTTGGTTGCTTCGATGACACTGTTTTAAAGTAGCAGGTTGTAATCCAAGCTTAACCTGAACTGGAATGGTAGGAGTTCAGTACAGTAGTAAGGCAAGATTTCCACACTATGGTTTGCAGAAAGTATATTGAAGAAACTGATCGCCAGAGTAGATCTATACTTAGAGAAAATATGGACCAGAAAACAATTAGGTCAATCCTTATGTTTATGCAAATATACTTCATTTCACACTTTTGAACCAACACCTGAACTGAAACACAGATAGTCCTTGAAATTGGAATTTTTCTTAATTTTGCGCTGAGAAGAAAAATGCAGTCTAAAAGTGCATTATATTAGCAGAACAGCCAAAAATGTGTGTATAGGCAAATCTGCATAAGAAAATGCACCTTTTAAGCACATCTCAAATTTTGGAATGAACTGAACCTTAAAACAGAAAAATGATCTAAGAAATAAACCAAACTTACAACTGGAGACATACAAGATGAAGAGAATCTGAAACAGACCATTTCACCCATCCACAAGAAAGAGAGCCCAGGTTAAGGAGGCTGTCACCCGACACTGTTCCACAGTAATCTCTAAGGATCTCTGTGTTCTCTCTGTAATGGTATTAATTGTAGTAGCGTGAATAATCTAAGAACACAGCTGGTGTGCCGGAATTTATAAATGATCAAACTAATGCTGCTTTTCAAACAACAGTATTTTCCTCTGTGCTTCTCAAGCCACCCCCCATGGTCTCAAAGGAGCTGGATGTTGATGATACAATAAACAGCTTAAATTAACACTTATAACAACTGATGTACTCCTCATTAGATTTTGTGTCAACATCCGCTATCAAACATCAGGACAATTTACATCTTTTAAAGCAAGTTTTAAGTACACTGCTGGTGTGTGAGGTGTTTTTTTTTTTTAAATGATAGAATGACACCAAGATTCTGTCTGCATTTCAGAAAGGACAATTCTGCTGCTACTGAGACTAGGAGCATGGCAATTAATAACAAGAGAAGGAGGAATGAAATTGTAATGATGCTAATCTTTTCTGAGTATAGGAAGTGCTTATATTTTTTATAAATTGTTAGTATAAAAACAGCTGTTGTAATCACTGCTAAGCTGTAGCGTGGTAAAACAACATCATAGTTTCCATTAAATATCCTGGCATGTGGAGTGGATCCTGTCATTCTCGTATCTCACTGCTGTCCAGCACCACTGTTTGGATTGTAAGAGTCAGGTGTACATCCATTGTATTTAATCACATGTTTTAGGAAGCTCAGAATAGGAAGATTTTTGGTTGCATTAAATGTATGAATATTAGATTTAACTTGAGTTGTGCACCAGATTCAGACAAATCCTGAATTCTGAACCGAATTGGTTGGATTCAGAGTGCTTTGTATGAGATCTGCTTAGGTTCCATGTCAAAGCAAACTAAATTTACTTATATCACATATATATAAGTAAATTTAGTTTGCTTTGACATGGAACCTAAGCATAACCTAAGCATGGGGGCATAAACTGCCTTAGTTTAACAGGATTTTTCAAAGCAAACATTCATGGTATCTAGTAAGCAAACCCTTGAATCTATCTATCTGAAATTATTCACCTCTTTGGGGTCTATAATGATTCCGGAGTTTAGGTACATTACTGCAACCACCACTCCCAAAGTTATAGCCATTTTGCACTGATTTTACACATGTATAGACAGTTTTAGGCTTGGGGCAAAACAAGTAACACTCAACAAAATTAGGATGCAATTCTGAAGCCTCCTAAATTAACCTCCAAACCAAAGCACAGGGTGGGGGGATTGAGCCTGTGTGCAACCCTAAATTTACCTTTTGTCAATTTAATTCAGCTGGCAAACATACTTGGATATCTTGTCCAAAGTTATTAAATTTAAACATTAGGATTAAGAAGTTAAAGTGCACTTGCAGGGCAAACCTATCTGTGGAGTTAGAACAATCTGGAGTGAGAGCATCTGGCGTAACGGAGGCCTCCTGGGCTCCTACTGGCAGGGTGGAAGGGAAAGAGGTGCCGTGGTCTCTTGCCTGATGTTTGGGTTTATTTATTTATTCTCCCCTCCCAGTTTTCTCCCATAGAAAACAACAAGAGAGATCATTCCAACAGGCAGAAATTGTTGGAAGCATCTTCAAGACATTGGAGGGCTTTGGACCCCACACATAAAAGGCAGCCTCCTCTCTCCTCTACGCCCACAATCCACCTCCTTTTTATCCAGCGTTAGAGAGGTGAGGATATGGAACTTTCACCAGAGGCTGGGTGGAAATATTTCAGGTTGGATCTCTCTTAGCAGAATCCATGCGGGGCAGAGGGGGAGACCATGCAGCACACACAGCGTTCTTCAACACCTGCCCCCTGAGGCAACTGCCTAATGTTATGGCTGGACATGGGAGCATCCTGGGGGAGATGAATACAAAGACCGCCAGCACACGTGTCCCAGTGGTCCTTCCTCACCTCCAAGAACCAGCCCAGTTCACTTACCGGGCTCCTCAGCGTGTGCACACCAAGCAGTGGTGACATTGT